GCGCGGTCAGTTCACAGGTTTATTTTAGTTTGAAAGAGTGAAGACGAAGCTCTCTTTTAAGAAGTGAAGTCAAACGAATGCAAAGGGTAGCAATTATTGTCTCTAACTTGATTAATTTCTATATTTAACTTGATTAATTTCTATATTTATTTATATCAAATGTGGCTTGATAGCATTGATTAATTGCCGAGTCGTGTCAACGAGTGATCAAGTAGGTTTGCGCATGTACCAGGATAATAATCTAGAAATAATATAATTCATCACATTATCATGATTATTTGCTTAATATTTTCCTGAATATAAAACATAACTTTGAAAATAAATTATACATTATTAGTCTCTGAAGTAAATGAGTTAATTAATGCATTACCATAGCGATGAATTTACATAGAAACACATTTCTTTATTTCAATTCTGAGACACAAAGCCAAGTACTAACCATGTTGATGAAGCTCTCTTTTAAGGAAAATCAAACTATTAATTGGAAGGGAAATATGTTAAGTAAAAGTGTTTTCATGACTAGGGATACGGTAATTGAATAAGATCTGTTCAAAAGTATTTTAAGCTTTAAAATCAAATTGCATATACAATATATTGCAATACAATACAATACAATATGTAGTTGACAATTTTTAAATTGTGAAAATAACTTTGAATTAATAATGTCGCCAAGTGGTGACATATTGTTATATAGTCTCAAACTTTCTTGTTGACAGTGTTTGGCATTCTCAGGAATTTGGACATTTGTATCTTGAATCTAGGTTGCTAACAACATTTTACGCCATCTATCCTTCACTGTCTGGATCAAAGATAGAGGTAGATGACCGGCTGTTTGAATGCCTGTAACTTATTTTTTCTTATTTTTTTCTTTTGAAGTCATTTTCTAGCTGCAATAATTTTACATTGCTTGAAAGGAAGTTATGGTTGTTCATTAGCATTTTATTTTCAATTTAACCTGAATTTCCCTGTTCATTAGCATTTTATTTTCAATTTAACCTGAATTTTCCTCTTCATTAGCATATTATTTTCAATTTAACCTGAATTTCCCTGTTCATTAGCATTTTATTTTCAATTTAACCTGAATTTTCCTGTTCATTAGCATATTATTTTCAATTTAACCTGAATTTCCCTGTTCATTAGCATATTATTTTCAATTTAACCTGAATTTTCCTGTTCATTAGCATTTTATTTTCAATTTAACCTGAATTTTCCTGCTCATTAGCATTTTATTTTCAATTTAACCTGAATTTCCCTGTTTCGAGAAGTTGATTTATATGAACCATGAACTTACTGGATGACAGTAGCCGTAAATCAGATATTTTACTTGAAATCAATACAATGTTTGAATAGTATGCAATGCCATGAATCCGCTGCACACCATGCTTGTTAGAATCAATACATTTCAATATAGATAAAAACTGAGAGTGTATCGATATCTCCTTTACCCCTTTGTTCCTACCTTTTGTTGTGTAGAGACGTTAGTGTTGCAGCCCAAGGGGATTATAGAGTGCTTTATTGGCATTAGCTGGTTGACAATTGCTAAATGTCCGAGATTACATTGATTCCTACTATTGGTATTCTGTGTTTTCACACTAGAGGAAATGCTGTTTTAGATTAGAAAGTTTGAGTGGCTGTTTGAGGACGAGACTTTAATATAATTGGATAATAAATAGAAGTGGATTAATGTACTATAGACGCTAAAAGACACTAATAGACTTATTTTGTGTATGATGGAATCTATTCTAGGCTATTAAAACAATTCTAAATCAACAATCATTTGAATGGGATGTTTTTAAATTATCTTCATTAAGGATGTCAAACTGGATTTCATCACATGTATTTCATGTTACAATCCAGTTTAGTGATTGGATTAATTAAAGGTACAGTTAATATTACTTTTTCACTTCAATTTTATCTATCTTTATCATTGTTGTCTCGTATACATTTCCAGACAAATATTCATAGAGAATTCTCATGGAGGAGATAACTTGGTGTCCTAATGACAGATCAAATTTTTAATGAAAAAATTCTTAGAATTAAAAATGATGTTGTATTTGGCTTTTCATTGGCTTCGCTGTCTATTCTGGACTGGAATATTGGTTTTTCTTTTTTTAATCTGTTTTTGGAGAATGATAAGGTTGTCTGACAGTCAAGAAAGGGTGTCATCCTCTTAATTGTCAGATCATCATATAAAATATAATATTACGAGTACACCATTTTGCAATAGATATTCACAAAGGCAGTAAATCAGATCTATAGGGGTAATAAAATTACATGCAGCATGTACAATTGACCTACCAATCTATTTCTTACAATCTCAAATGCAATATCTCCCAAAAGATTCACGATATCTTATAAATTGGTGATGTTATTATGGATTTAAAGTGCAAATATTAGTGAAAAATATTTAAATTCTCCAAATAATAAGAATGGTTATTGTAAAAATCTAGTTTTCCTGAAATAAAATGTGCACTTTAGATTTTTTTTAGAAAATATACATGAAAAGGAATGCCATGAGCCAGAAATATTCTAAAATTGAAACAATTGTTTGTTGGCCTGCTCACTAGATCTGATTCTCTCTTTAATATAATGAATCTCAGCTTTATAGATCTCTAGGGAAACCTTCCCATTCAATATATATATTATCACATATACGTGAGAAGTATGTTGTTTTAATGGTTAATGAAGGGATGTTTGTCATGTATTGTTTCACTATTGACCTGTTAATCATTTCTGTTGCCAAGATATTCTGTCAACATTTCCAAGGTTTTTCATTGTCATATATACAATTTGAGCCCTACTGATTGGCTGCCTTCACTAGAACTATATTCTGACATTCATTATGTCACCACCAAAAAATATTGTTATGGTCTCCGTTTTTGTGCGGCGGTTGGCGAGCAGTGGTTGGCGATCGGTGGTTTGCATCTGTAACAAATGGTGGTAACATTTTGCATGTTAATGCCTTGCTTTTCCTATGTGATATCCAAAATATTTTTCGCTATCAGATTTATTTTGTTTCTCAATCAGATAATGAAATTCTATAAAATGACCAATACAACTAGCCGATGATTAGGAATTCAATGTTTATGAAATTACTTCCTTAGATCAATCATCTAAATTGAGACAGATATGTAAATAGAGTAAACATAATTTATGACTCTTAGTCCATCCTCTGAACTCAAGGTTCCAGACATCATCCACTAAGTTCCTTCCTTCTAGGAGGTACGAGTTCTGGAGGCCTGTGTTCGGAGCATGCTCTCAATCATGGGTATTTCACCCTCTTCAAAAGCACAATTCTATTTGCGGTCTTTAAGTCAGTGTAATTTTGTTGATTTATTATATATTTAGGTAAAATGTACTCAGTAAATCATAAAACTAAATTTTGAAACTAAGCTAACTTGATCCCACAATCCAGCATCTATGTAAGGCCATGGAAGCTCCATAAGTAAAGATTAATACTTGATCTATTAGAATTAAAACTATAAAATCCTGCATAATAGTCAGAGGGTAGTATGATAAAATGATGGGATAAAGGGTATTGAACAGTGAATTACCCCATTTCGCTCTTTCACAAACATACAGCCTAAAAAATAACATCGCCAATTTGCAGCTTTCACTTTCAGCACAATCTTGTCAATGTAAAAATCAATTATGATCTAACAGAACTGTATAATAGGGAGAATTATAGAACAATGAGTTTGTTACTTGCTATTCATGTACTGAAGATGTTTGGAAATTGAAAGTGATAGATAAGGTTATTAACCTTAGAATATGAATACACTAGGTATCAATCTAATTTCAGACCTTCCATTGGGGTTGTTAGCCCTAGATTGTGATTCTGATTTTAAAAAGCTGGCGACTGGACCTTTCTTTCTTACTACATCTAAGCACTTTTAAGACTAAAACACTTCTATGGAGGGTAAAGGTCAAAAACCCAAGAGGAATTGATTCTGTTTTTTTTAAATGAAACCTTCTGTAATTAAGTGTCATGTGTTTATGCTTCACATGAGGATATCTTCACTTAGTAAATGTAATTTTTCAGATTTAAGTGAATGAAAATAGATAGAGGAAATTGAAAACTGAAATAGATCGAGATTTCCTGATTTCTTAGTATTAAGAATTTGCTAGTCTATAAGTGCCATGCTCATAACAAATGATGCATTTAGCTTGATGAGATCATGCTTAGAAAGCTAAAAATTATAATGGTTTGGGCTCTAAATTTGTTTTTTTTTCAAATTCTGACAAAGGATTTGAAATTTTACAGATGCTTTTTTAGAAAAATACTAGATTTTTTATAAATGGACCCATGAAGTTTATTTAAGACTCTATGTGGGCAAATTATATTATATGTTATGGTGCTAATAAAGCAGTAAAATATCTGATGTTATGGTAATATTTTATATCTGGTATGACAGCTCAATCAGTGGAATTAAAAGCTTGGATTAAGATTGAGCTCACAGTGACAAGGTAAATAGAGTGCTCTTTCACTGGAGATTTACAAATATTCAGGGTTGTTTGATTAAAATCATTTGAAGTCTTTTGAAGAAAAAGTCTGATATTTTCATGTTTTCTTCTGTTTATTTCCAGTGTGATGCCACATTGACAGGTGCAGTGCCACATTGACATGTTTTCTTCGGTTTATTTCAAGAGTGATGCCATATGTGAAGTGGAGGTGCCACATTGACCGATGCATTGCCAAATTGACAGATTTTCTTCTGATGTGAGTAGACATGTAGACATGCCACATTGATAGATGCAGTGCCACATTGACATGTTTTCTTCTTTTTTTCAAGAGTGATGCCACATTGACAGATGCAGTGCCACATTGACATGTTTTCTTCTTTTTATTTCCGAAGTGATGCCACATTGACATGTTTTCATCTATTTATTTCCAGAGTGATGCCACATTGACAGGTGCAGTGCCACATTGACATGTTTTCTTCTTTTTTTTATTTCCGAAGTGATGCCACATTGACATATTTTCTTCTGTTTATTTTCAGAGTGATGCCACATTGACAGGTGCAGTGCCACATTGACATATGTGGTAAGATGAGACCATGCTGGAGAAAGGAAAGGCCAGTGGGTAAGTAATATAATTGTCATGTTTTCATTAATATAATTTTAATTTTAAAACATATCACATACTGCATTTCCATCTCATAGTTACAAGAAATCTGAGTCCTGCAAGTGAATCTAAGAAATTTGTGTTGATGAAAATTATTATTCTGTTGATACTGTCAGGTAAGGCTGAATTAAAATAGTTTCCAAAAAGTAAATAATATTGTATGCATCTCAACATTTAATAAATCCCATATCAGCTGTAATACTCAATATTGTAATTCAAGAATCACATTTCATTCATGCTCGCTAGCTCTTTGAACAAATAACTGAGGAGAATATATTAGGCATTCTGATTTATCAGTTCTTCTATATTTATTATGTCACCACCAAAAAGTGGTGACATATTGTTATGGTCTCTGTTTATTGTGACGGTGGTTGGCGATCAGAGTTGGTGATGGTGGTTGGTGGTTGGCTGTAACAATTTCTTAAAACTTCCAATAATTTAACAAATACTGTTTAGACTGACTTCAGTTTTTTTTCAAAATCATCTACAAGTTTTCAGAAGTTCAAATCTTACTTTCTAATAAATATTTGACCTTGGTGACCTTTTCAAGATCAAAAAAGGTAAAAGAAGCAACATTTCAGTCAGATACAGGGGATTGTCTTTAGTACAATCATTATAACTTACAATTCTGAGAGATATTGCCTCCTTTTTGACAAACAATGACCAAATCGTAAATTAAAACAGTTCCAAAAACAGACTCCAGGACTGCATATATACAAATAATGCTGGGAGAATTTATCATTTTTGGAGCACTATTTGTTATCCTTAATTCATTTCATATGTCCTAATTTTGAAATAGATATGATAGAAAACATATTTTTGATGAATTTTATTTTGTTTTATTGGAATTTGTTAACTAATTCAGAAACGGCCCAATCTGGCAATTAAACGCAGAACTAATCTTCACAATTGCCAAGCAGAACGTAAAAAAGATTTTATTACTTATCCAAGATAATAAAATATATTTTACTGTAAGCTTATCGTATTGTTATGTTGCCAAACATCTGCCTTTGATATTAAAAAGAAATTGCAATATATAATATGCTCATATACTATGTAAGGGTAAAGGGGTAGACAATTTGAGGTTAACAAATTGCAAGAAGTATTAACAATATTGGACAAATCAATTAATGCCATTGCAATATATTTTTCATTTTTGGCCCGAAATAGACTTTCTTAAATTAATTGAAAAATTGAAAAAATTGACCATTTGCTTTTAACTTTTTTCACGACTAAGCGGTTTTCTTTGTCAGAACATATATCGAACAACTCACAAGCAATCCTATGTGACATTCTTACATCTATAGATCGCTGTTTTAGTTCTTGTTAAAGACTTGATTGCATAGCAAGTGACAGCTGAGACATACTTCAGATATGCTTCAGCTATCTTGACATGATATAATAGAGCCTTTGAGTCCAATAAATTGACTAAACTTGTCAGATATGGCATTTCAAACAAAATGAAGGAATCACGAGTTGATACACCAAAAATCAGATTTTTATATTATAACTTTTATCATTACAAATCAACTTATAAATGAAGTATGACTTTATCTATATGTAAGATACATTTTTTGAAATTCTGTAGTTTGAATTGTGAGGTGTTTCACCAAAGATTGTATTAAAGAATTGAAATATTGTCTTATAGATGGTGCCTTTGAGCTTTCTCCTTTCTATTTTCGTAATATGGCTTCTCTTCATTTTATTGACCTGGACCTTTAACACAATTGCATTCAACCTTGCACTGGAAATTTATTGATTTCAATTAACATTCAATCAGTTTTATCAATCTCATCTCACTTTTCTTGTTTAAATAGTAAAGACCTATTAACATTTGGTTTATGTTTCAAAATACATCCTTGTTTAAATTTTTAACAATAATTAAAGAGTAATATATATTTTATGATTGATAAAGATTTCCAAACCCTCCTGTGGTTAGAGTCTACGGTAGTTGAAGGATCTCATCAGAAGTTTTTACAATAACATAGAGCTATTAACCTCTTGACTACCTGGAGTGACAGGATTTCTTGTCACCTCAGAAATGACCTTGAAACCCAGAGTGACGAGAAAATCGGTCACAAATTTTTTGAACAATTTTCATCCAATTTACACAAAAATTGTTTCAAACTGTGTAGAAATGATCTCTGCCGTCGAATTTACTAAATTGAGCATCTTAAATTGTAATAGGTATGTAGCATAATGTCAAAAGGTGGCAAAAAGGAAAAAATCTCTGGTTTCAACCAATTTTAGAGCCTCGGATTCAAGAGGTTAAGGATACCATAGAACAATTTTATGACTTTAGATAAAAGTATTTCAAGTTAGACACCATTAATTTACAGATCCCTTCAAGCTAAGTTTGCCTTATGACAAGAGCAGTTTTCCTGACTATTATTAAGCTTAAATCATATCTTGTCAATTCAATTCTTAAATTCTGAGGATACATGTTGAGAGGCATTGTAAGGATCTCAAAATACTGTTGTTAGTCAGATTTTCAGTGTATCTTTAGATGCTATATTATCATTAAACCTGGCTTATTCTGCAGACAGAACCACATGTTTATTCAATGTTAAACAACAGCCCGATACCATAAAGTTGTAACACATGTGGCTTATGATTCAATTAATCGCGTCTGACATATGAAATCTGACATTTTAAAAACATTAACATTAAAACTATTTGTTGTTATCAGGATATTATTCAGTACTTTGATTTCATTTTAAATTCTTATTCCATTGTTTGCAATCCTTTGCATGATAAACATGTATTCAATTCTAGACTGAAAGCCATCATGATAAACCATGACATCTCACTGAGATGGAGAAACAGAAAGATACTATGAGTATAAGAATGACTGAAAGCTACCCTTCCTGTTTTAGAAATTTGATGGGTCATGTTCTATTGGTATGAAGGAATCTTATAAACCTTTTGAATTTAATATTAATTCTAGACTTTGAAAAATAAGCCTTATTTTAAAACCTGAACAATAACTTTCGGACATGTAACCTTTACCTCGTTACTGTTAATGTTTGGGATGGGTGTAATAACTTCTTCCTTATCTTGATAGTCCTTTCCTACTAAAAGGATGATTATTGCGTCGATTGAGCCTAAGTAGTGGCTAAAGCAATGGTTTATACAATCACATAAAGACAAGATCTGCATCACAATGCCATCCTTTTCCATGATTACAGCAACTCAGTTTGTGATTCTTTTGATTTATCTCCAGATTGACTAAGGTTGATTAAGTGGATTTAGGATCTCACTTTCTGTTCTGATGACACTGTTGATTGCATCATTTTGCTTCGAAAATAGTAAATGAGAACTATAATTACATTCCTAGTGAATAAGCACTACCTGCTCTGTCTGTAAATCATACTGTTAAAGCAAAAATTGCATCCCACCAGTTATGAAATAAGAAACGAAACAAAATCTGATTCATTGATTAAAGGACAGAGACAAGTTTCACATACTTTTATACTTTTGCTCTAGTCATTCCAAGTCATGTTAATTTTTGAATTTTGAAAACTCCAACAGTTATATGACTTTATTTCAGAATGATCAAGAATTTTAAGGTTATCTACAAAAATTAATGGATTTGGACATATATGCATTGCATCTTCAATATTCAAGTTACATATTCAAAGTGCAACAAAATAAAATTGTTTGTTTGTTAGAGAAACATTGGCATGATTTGTTAGCAGCTAACATTTTCACTTTTATCTATTCTAATTCCTTTAAAATATTGAGTTTTCTCTGATGATCTGCACTCCATCTCCATGTATTGTATTCTTTAATATGTTTTCTATGCACACTTTATAAATTGCAAATAATGTTGGAAAATATTGAAAACTTTGGCAACTTTATTGTGTTGTATTTATAATATCTATATCGATTAAACAGAAAACTTAAAAAGTCTCTGATGATGCCTGGGAGAGTTTCACGTCAGCACAGCTGTGACTTACTGCGTCTTCAGTTAACAGTTGGATATTAATCTGAAGATTATCAATACAATTATTAATAAACAGCCCAAGACCTAAGGAAGTAGTCTTCCTTTTCCTCAGAGATAAAACCTTTTGCATCTTCTCCAGTGAGGCCTGTCAACAGAACAGATAGAATGTAATGTAGAATTAGCACTTGCTTCAAACTAACAGGAAGGTTATAGTAGAAACACAGTGTTTCATGAAACATCTTTCTTAAGTACATGTAATAGAAATATAGCAGAATCAATACAGTAAGAAATCTCTGATTAGAAATTCATTATTTACCTGGATCAAGTCAGTGAATGTATTCACATATGTGCATTTATAATTACATGTATTCGAAAGTGAGAATAGATATAACTCGTCAAGCAAAACAGAACAATATCTGAGTCATACAGAATGATCAGATAGTTCAGTGCATTCTGAGAGGCATTCTGTTGCTGGTTTTTAAAAAGGAACTGATAGAACAGGGCTGTGATCTCTTACAATTAATAGGAGTGGCATTGGAGTATGATTTCCATACAAATGGCTGACTGAATAGCTAGACACTAAAGGCACCATAATTTCTAATACACCCAAAGGTCTTGTAGCTGGTAGTAATAACCACTATAGTAGATGAAGAGCTCTTTTATGAAGAAGTAAAATGAAACAAATAAAAAGGATGCATGTCTAATATAGCATCATTGTTAAGACTGACTGATGGGTTTAGATGAAATTCTTTTCTCATCTGAGATAATAATTTCCTTCTGGATTACTGATAAATATACACATTCATGAGTCTGATTTCACATATTAAAAAGAGAGCTTGGTCTTGAGCTTCAGGATACATTACAGCCAATTTACTCTAGATTATACAATTAACTATAGATCTATAGATTGTACAATAGACTAATTAGGAGTTTGGATGTCATGTGCATTATATTTTGAGGTATGACTCTCAAAGAAGTGATTGCTGATGGCGTCTTTTATGTTAGAAAGCAAGAGAGACATGAAGATTCTCTTTACACATAACATGAATAATAGCATCTAAATAATAGATTATATTCAATGTAATGAACACCTACTGGAATTCTGCATGCGAAATAACACAGAACTTTGATGATTTTTGCTATAGGAATTAAGAAATTGATTAAATTGAGGCTCATACCTGATGTTTGATGTCTGAAGTTTCATTCAACAATAGCCAACAATGGCGCAAGAAAATCCAAATAGAATTGAGTTTATGAACATTTTGTGTGAGAACATCAGATTACTTGCATTGTGGAAGTTACATTAATAAGTTATGAAGTTTGAATTGTAGAAATTCTCAGCCATTATTGGAATGCTTTTAACAGAAGTGTTGGAGAAACTGAAGAATTGTTTCATATCTATAGTGCCTAAACTGCCACACTTTGAGGGGCATGATACGGATATTACAGGAATGAAAGATAAAAGAACACTACAGGAATACGTTGTGAAAATATAATATTACAGAAATGAAAGATTAACATCTGCATCAAAGTGACACACATCAAGATTCAAATCCGATTGCGCTAATTGAGGTTACATAGTGATATTAGAAATGATGGCTCTATATTCCCCAACGGGCAAATTGTACAATTCAGGTTTCTCAATCTACTATGCAGTGATGTATAGAAGCAAGACGGAAATTATGATGCCATAGCTACAGTGATTAAAGTTCATGCAACACATGCTTGGATTAGAATTCTTTAATGGCAGTAATCAATTTTTACAAAGAACAGCATGGAATTCATTGATTTACATTTTATAACACACGAGAGAGAATTTAATCGAATGTTGCTATAAACCAACAAGTTAAATAGAAAAACATAGGACTGCTTGATAAATGTTAATTTTTATAGCTGTTTTATCAAATGAGGCAATATAATAAACAATATCATCATATCATAATTATTATGCATTGATATAAAGATGGATTACTCTCCTGAGGATTAGTACTTGGGATAAAACCTCAACAAATAAAAACACACAGTACGTATATATGTACATGTATTTGTCCATTTGCAAAATAAACAGTACACAATATACTGATTTAGTACACCAAGCAATTAAGCTAATGGAAAGGTCGGGAAAGACAATTTGTCATTAACAGTAACAAGAGCTACATATTATCAACTTAACAATGCTGCTAATTGTATGGTAAAAACTGAAAGTGCCATTTCTAGACCCTGTATGACATTAATAGGGCATATACAGTGATGATTTAGCTGATGGAGAACAGTACCCATTCCAGTAAACAATACCGAAGGTGACATAAATGAGATAAGAAAAGGATTTCCAGAACAAAAATGTACATATAGTTTTGGGGAAAAACTCAAGGATATAAAGAGGAGTTGTCTTATCAACACTGTAGGTGACATAAGTGAGATAAAAAAAGGATTTCCAGTTCTTCAAAAAGAACAAAAATACACATATAGTTTTGATGAAAAAACCCAAGGATATAAAGAGTTGTCTTATCTATCTATTCATTGATAATGATAAAGCATATATGGATAAAATATAAGCGATTATTGGTTAAGAACTAATTGACAAGATGTCTTGGAGAATGAATGGCTATGCTGTTACTGTCACATTAGAGCAAGAGGAGTCATCCTGTTGGCCATGTGGCAAGAGCAAGAAAATACAAATTAGTGATGGAATAGGTGAGAGTGCCTTCCTATTATGGTTTGATTGATACAGAGTGACACAAATATGCTCTGTTTTGAAAGAATCTTTCTTCAATTTTCTCCTTGAGTTGTGTACCTACTTCTACACTATAACATATATATTTTTTGTATATTAGCGTCATTTACTTTGTGATCGAGATGAATCACATTTCCCTTTTTCATTTTATCAAGGTGTAAACAATACAGTTTGGCCATGTATTTTGATCAGTTCACATTCTTTTGGGTCTTTGACTGTTGGTTCGTTGGAACTATGAAACATGGGAAATGGAAAGAATGGACAATTCCATCATCTAAGAAATAATGCTGTGTCATAATTTGCCAAAAAGGAGATGCCATAACATCCACATGAAAGCATGTTTCCATGTTTTAATCAACTCTGAAAATTCATAATATATTATGTCTGTGATTCATCTGTCAAGTTCTAATTGTATGCATGTTTTAACTCATTCTCTTTGAAACAGAATATTGACTTTCTGTTTTATTGGCCTGTTATATACAGATGTTACCTTTATAGATAAACCACATGTTGTTATGGCTGCAATTCATTATAAAAGCTAGTGTCAAGCCCACACTATAGGCTCCCAAGATTCAATAAATCAGTCCGTTATTAATTTGTTTAATGGAAAAATTGAGTTTTAGGTGCTAATATTATAAGTGAACATGGGAAATATATGGTGAATAGTAGTTTCATATTCACACATAGGCGGATTATCTCTGAGATGTCCCCACTAATCGGCTTATAGGCTTATAGATGGCTTATCTCTAATCCCTATTGTCTGTCTAGGACCGAACTAGCGACAGATTATCGCTTATCCCTATTGTGTCTGAGATTGTCCCTAATGGGTTTAAAGACAGAATCGGCGTACCGATAATCTTTTAATCCGATGAAGGATGTAGAATTTTTTTTGTGATAATCCTTTAATCCGATAAGTGATTTTTTGAAATGGTCTGGTGATGATCAGCCTGTAGGGTAGATGAGAATTTGACTAATAAGATTACGATAGAAGAGTCGGTACGAGCTTGTTGTATGGACTTTCTGTATACTAATAAATGTAAATGGACGGTGTATTAATAAGCTTAACTAACGAACAAACAATGTAATATGTACTTTGTACGAAAAATTAGATGTTTATTAAAAGTAAAAATCCATATTATAATATACAAACATGGCGGAATGAAATCAATCAATGTCAGTATAGGTCATAGTCATCATTAAAATATTGACAGACAAGACAACTCATCATTCCTTCTTGGTTCATATGATCCAGCGGAAAATGGGCAAGGCAATTACGTTCCTCTAAAGGTAACCGAGGGATCAATAGTCGAATATCCTTTAGCATGTCCATAACATCTGCGAATGAGAATGTCACGTGCCATTTCAGAGTTCTTGTACTGTTAGGTCTGTCGTATTCTGTGGATGTAACTGATAGCAACTTTTCTTCAGCGAAGACTCTAAATTCGTAACCTAGTCCCAAATGGTAGAATCGATCTGGTATAAATTCGAACGACTTCAAGTGTTGGTCATCTGGTGTTTTGGTCACGTCCAAGTAATATATTAACGAACGCAGGCCTCCCGTTTCGAAAAAGCATTCGATCAAATAGTCGAACTCCCTCGATGTCATGATACCAAAGTCTCCAGGTTGAATGGATGGTACCATGACCATAGTATTAGCATGTTGTTGCGCCGAATACTCTCTTATGATTACGTTATCCCCTATACGATAGATATATGTAGCCCCGACTTTTAACATCTTTGGTAGTTCATTTTCCAGTGGTCTTACGATCGAACCCTTGGGTTTTTGAAAATCTATCTTTGATAAGTGAAATGTCACGCAAGTCCCATCGTTATCTTCGTCCAAGCACGAACCTTTAATGTGCATGTTAACCTCCGAATGTAATCATAAAAAAGTAGTAGATATTACTTTGAATTGTCCTTGACCGTGTTCACTAGATTCGTTTCAGAACGTTCACCACCGCCGAGGCAATCTATGGAATCAACTGCCGATGATGTTGGTGTCGATCTTCTTTTCAAGGTCAGGGAAACCACTGTTACAACGGCAATCGGTACAATAATGCAAACCAATGCAGGTATGATCATGTCCAATTGAAGCGATGGTATATCTGTAAAAATAAAAAAATAATAAAAAAATATATACGTATTTATGACGATTAGAATTGTTAACTTTGAATCAATGAGGCATTACACGAGTAGCTTATTATAAACAACTCTTACCAACATAAGCCTTGAGACGATCTGGCCCGTATGTCCTAGGTGTAATGAACTCTGCTAATGTTGACACGTTTTCACTTAAGTTTTTACCGATGATCATAATTGTTGTCACGAGTACTATTCTTATTTATGTGTTTAATGTTCTGCGTCTCTTTAATGAATGATTAAATTATCTAAATGCTCTTTGTTAAATGTAAAATTCTGGTAGTCTGGTGTTCATTTAGGTCTTTATTACCAACGTGTCTGAACACACCGTGGTTGTTGACATACATAGGCAGGGTAGCGTCATTCCCCATAGTAACCGGTAAATATTTACCTACACAATGGATTAACTTCCTAGCGACAGGTAAACAATGAGATAGTTCTATGTAAAGAATTTGACTTGTTTCTGAAACAATGAGATGTTTCTGAAGTCAAATTGTATAGTAATAGTGCAAGTTAGCGTTCTTTCCTATAGTAACAAGAAAATATTTACCTACACAATGGAATAGCTTCCTAGTGACAGGTAAACATAGACGTGAAACACAGACAAACTTTTTATAGTAACAGTGTAAGTTAGCGTCCTTCCCTATAGTAACAAGAAAATATTTACCCACACAATGGAATATTTGCAGAGCAACAGGTAAACAGTGACGTCATTCATAGAGTCGAATAAAAGTATCGAGAGAGTACAAGTTGTTACATTTCACCAGAACATACAGACAGAACATACAGACAGAAGGACTAGGAAAAAGGCAAAATGCAGAACACCAATCAAACATCAACTACGCAGAGTGTGGGACTGTTTCAGATCAGTGAAACTATTTATGTTGAAATTAAAAAGGGGGAATACGCCAAACCGTTCCTGGTACTACAGAAGAAGTATTGGAGCAAAGAAAGAAGTCAATATTGCACAACCAGTATACTAGTAACAGTATATATGTGGAGTAATCTTAAGGACAGCCTCGCAAACATAGAAGGTTTAGTGGCATGCATCAAAAGTGGCGCCTCTAAAGAAATGATTTTAAACATCGGCGAAAAGAAACTGTTAACATTGATCGTATACGAGAACGAGCAAGGTGAAATACTGTTCGAATTCAAACGTAAACGATCTCGTCCCGATCAGTGTGGCAACACTATGAACGAAGTGTGTATGAGTACTAGTGATTTTGAGGATCTAAAGAAATGGATGCCAGTCATAGACAACTGTATTCAAGACAACTCTGATGTGCCAGTAGTAAATGGTAAGTACAATATATTTCTTTCATAGCATATGAAAATGGGAAGTAAATGTTCTAAGATTTACATATATTTATACATACTAGAGTATTTTAAAAAAAAATCACTCGTCTTGGAAATAAATCTATGCACACTGATTAATATGCTAGAATGAAATAGGGTTTTTAAAAAAACTTTTTTTCGTTGTTCTTTACAGCCATCACAGATCCGAGCCAGTATACCCCGTTTAAAACCACACGCAAGACAGGAGTCCCTCCTAAATTTAGACATTTAAAATTGGATGCTAGCGACAAGAGCACGCAGACAGAACCTGCTCTAGATGTTCCACCTACTCCAGTCATTGAATTGGAAGACCCATTCAAGTATATTTCGCCGACCTTAGATTTATCTAACCATCTGTTAAGCAGTTCCACGGAGAGCATTTATTCTGGCATTTCTGACTTGGACTTCGATTCATATCTGCCACTTACAGACAAACCCGATGACTTTAATTTCCACATAGATTTGGAATCATGTGAAACGCGCGTTGATGCAGACAGAAATGTCCTTGAACAAACAGTATATGAACCTATCTCACCATGATATAAAAAAGACTAAAATGGCCGAGTTGAACATTTTATAGACGTGTACAATGTGCACTATACGAGACTTGATCAAACTACATTAAAAGTGTGTGTTTGCGTGTTTGAATGAACTTGTAAAACTTTGCTAATATGAGACGTATGAAAAAATAAATAAATAAATCTAATATGACATATATAAAGGTTTTTTCTTATGTTATTTTCCCTATAAATTAAGATGAAGTCCTTCAGAGCCCTCATTTAAAGTCTAGTTGTCGAGGAGTAAGAATGTCATTTTCTGATAACATAGTGGAAAAAAGTGGTATTGAACCCTACAGTAGCTTTATGATCGTAGGCGCTACGTTCACAGGTAACATTGATACCTTATGATTGGTAATCTAATATTGTAAACTTGAACACAGTATTCAGCCATAGCTCCTCTATTTTTAAACGAAAGAACAAAAGTTAATGACACCGTATAAAACTTAATATACATTAAATATTATGCCCATAGGTAAATCATACTTTGTGTACAAATTCCTCAAGGATGCTAAGTACTTGTATAACAAAGATCCCCCAACAGCCGTCCTTTACTGCTACGGTGTGTATGATAAATTCTATCAAACGATGGCCGATGATATTGAAGACTTTTATTTACACGAAGGTCTGCCGGATGAGGCATTAGTTCAGAAATATGTTAATAAAACGAAACATCTCATGATAGTGATAGATGATCTGGGTCAAGAAGCCAGTAAGAGTTCATACGTAGAACGCCTCTATACATACGGAACACATCATTCGGGTACGTTTGTTACGATCATAGGCAATTACTGATATATATGTACTTTTTGTAGAACACAGTACTTTACACGAATAACAGACTTAAACATATAACAAATACAATGGTGTCGTTTGTATTTCAGGTTTATCGTGTATGTTCATACTACAAAATCTATTTTAAACGGGAAAAAATAGTAGAACTATCGCATTGAACACACAATACCTAATATTGTTCAAATCACTTAGATCACTGTCTTCCATCAAGATTTTGGCTGGTCAACTAGGTTTGGGAAGTAAGCTAGTAAAAGCTTATCAAGATGCTATGGTATCATCAAAATGGCCCTACTTACTCTTAGATTTACATACATTGAGTGACGACAGAATACGCATGCGCACAAAAATATTTAAGGACGACTCTATGGCTATTGTATATCAGTGAACTGTTTGATAGTCTCAGGTCATTCAGCAATTGGCGAGTGATGAAATGACACGACCATGAGTAAATTGGTTAAGCGAAATATACACTATATAAGACATATCGTTGAAATTAATTCTAAAAAGGAGTTGAGGAACGCACTGAGAACATTGAAAAAACAACCATTGAAGGCAATCGTTGAAATTGTCTATAACCTGGTTACTGGTAACATACCTATTACGGAAAAAGAGAAAACCGATTTGAAAAGGCACAAACTGTTTTTTGAAGCAATCAGTCATAAAAAGAATAGCCTCGTCAAAAAGAAAAAACTGATCTTAAAGAAACAAACTGTATTAATTAAGTTATTAAAGATAGCGTTGGAACATTTAAAGAGGTATGAGTTTTAAGTCAGTCCTAGTTCCACTACACCAGTATGAACAAATGCAGAAAGAACTGACCGAAATCAACAAGAATAAGGACTCATCAACAAGGACTTCTACAGCCGCCGATCGGATAAACTCTGATGTAAAAAACAACAAAGTATCTTTAAAAGGTGACCATGAAACGATGACGACTGTATCATCACCTCAAATAAAAACGTCTAAGGACAATAGAAATGGTATTACTGATGACAAAAGCAGCCAAGATGCGCTCAACTCAAATAATACTCCACATTCAAAACCCTCCAAAACAACTAGAAATAAACGTAAGGAATACAGTTCAGAGTTAAATCAGTCTACCGAAACGTCAATGGTCAATAAAAATCGTCGATTACATTTGGCAAAGGTTCGTTGGCATAAAACATCTGGTGATAGATCCATGGACGGAGAGCGTAGTGTTGTTCTTCCGAGTAAACCACCAGGAATAAATCAAAAGACTATGCAAAGCACAACAAAGAAAAAACGTAGACTGAAATGGTTTCAGTTATAAATGAGATATTTTTTAAAAGATGCACTCAAATGATGATGATATTGTGTATATAAAGTGGCATCGTTTGATTAAGTGACTATAATAAGTGGACAAAAGTTGAAAATGATTTAAACAGAGAAGGACAATTTTCATTTTTGACTCGATTGATAGTGGCACAAAGTACTTTTATGTCTAGAGTAAATGTCATTGAAATCCCTTTGTAATCAAATATAAGCATATACAACCGTGGCCTAAACTGTAATTGTATCGTTAAAATATGGTCCAATTTTAACAATAGTTCATGTCTTCAGTGAACCAATTACAATGTTATCCATTTAGTATTGCACCTTTTTGTAAATGAAACAACTTTGTATAAATAAATCGAGAATAAAGATTTTACTGTTAAAACACCAAAAACATTTTTATTTTCTCTTTTATGCAGTTTTGTTAACAATTTTCTTTTTAATACATTTCCACTTTTATAGTCAATTTTTATTTTATTTTTTTAAGTTAAAAAAGATATTCTATTTACAAAGTGAACACACTCATATTTACACTATGTAAAGTCTTATTCAAAAAACAGTAACCTATATTATCTGCTTAAAGTTAACATTTTGACAGTCTCGTCTGTGTACTCTTTTACTAAAATGTCATTATCTGTTTTATGGACGTCGTCGAAAGCATACAGAATTTCTTGGGATGCTACACCCATACATCTTAGAACTGTATATAAATACACATAATTTCCGCAAGTGTCACTGTTCATATCTTGAATACTACGACTACATACGACTAAAGTGTAGTTGCTGTGTCTCTTGATGAAATCAGTAAATGTCTTTCCATAGTCTCGAGGATGTGCTCCTAGAGAGCAGAAAAATTCCAAAGTGTTTTGAGTATCATCGAATAACATAAGTACCCAATGTCCATCGTGTAACTGCGTACTGTCTAATGTATTAACAACAAAAATATCTTGGTTAGGTAGCCTATACAGCGGTAGTCTGTTCCTGGCACAAACATCTCCGAATCTAGCGCTTGTAGCATCATTACGTGTTAGCAATTGTTTCAAAGTACAACTGTCCATAGTTATGTAAAAAAAAGTGTTTTTACTGAGGAATAATGCAATTTCTCATATAGTCGATGGAAAATGATTTGGTAAATAGTCCTGTCACCAGAGCTGTGATCGGTTCATCCAATGGGCTGTTAAAGTTCAATTCTAGCCTCAGATTGCCAGTACGTTGAAGTGATATAGATTCGTCCGTACCCTGTTCATTCATGTATTGGAGGTTAAATTGAAATATACTCGTGCCTTCGCCGAATTGTTGCAGTGTAATTCCGTGGCTTTGGTCTTTAGGCCAATTTTCAAATAAAGCCAAATACTCTCTTGTATAATTCTGACCAGAAGCTGTGTCGAACTGAGGTCTAAACGGTTCGGACGGGTGACTTATACCATCTACCATGCAATTGAGATATCTGCAAGTAAAAGGCATATACACGTGCTTTTTTGTCTGTTTTGATTAGTTATTTTGATTAGTAATTTTGTTTAGACAGTAAAGTAGTACAGTACGTTTAAATCTATGGTATGGCCATAAAAATGATTGGTGTGTGTGTAAAAGTGAAAATAGTATACGTACCCAACTGAAAAGTCTTCAAACTTTAGTGGATTGGTTTGCATATCGCCTCTAAAGGATTTGGCCTTCACAAAACAGACGAACATCGTGTTGGGAACGGCACTGTTGAATATGTTGTCGAATACTGCCGTAGACATGCCACTGTTGACGTTAAAACTTCTAATGTCGTATCCTTCGTAAAAATAGCGGGCCATTTTGTTTTTTAACAGTGAGTCTTGGGCCATCACTATGCCAGGTGCTATGTTTAATTGGGCAACTCTCATGAAAATATCTTCGATTACAAGTTTATATTTATTTGTCGTCTGTGTTATCAATCTAAAAGCATCGGAGGCTGGTGTCAAACGGATCTTTAGTTCAATGTTTGGAAGTAAGTATCTTTCACACTCCATGCAGTCTTCAAATAAGGGCGATTCCATTCCTACAGACTTGGACCCCGCAAAAAGCACAGCTCTTTCATAAAGACCGTAATTTACGATTTTCGGGGAAAGTTGAGCGTCGTCTCTATCTTTTGACATGCCTGTATCTTTGTAATACATTGCTGATGTCAGTCGGGTATCTTTTACACTCTTTGGGTATTTCAATAGAGTTTTCAATATGGCTTTATACGGATACGTGTAATTCGAATTCGATGTAACTGGTTTATTTTGTATTTGAATGTCGACATTTGACCACATGCTGTGTAACAGGTTGTTTATGGGACCTACATTATCTGTCAGCGCCCCTTGTTCATCCACTGTACCGATGTCGCTGCCATCCTCTTTGACTATTTTAACTTTACAATGAAGTGTACACTTGGCAAGATCGATATATTTTGTCGATGAATTTGTAATGTGAAAATCAACAACTTGGTTCTGTTGAATAATCGGAGCCAAAGGTCTGAAATCCACGTAAGTCGTCCCTAACACGGAAACATTTGTCCCAGGAGCATCAAAAATTAAGAGATTGTTATTCACTAAATCCTGCGAATCTTTAACCTTAAATGTGTTGGCCATTATTGAGTGTAATGTTTACTGTTGTTTATTTCTGCCTTTATGTTGAGTCACCTTTCTCTTTTTATGATTGCCCTTACTGTCAATGTCGTCGTCATAGAATATGCTTTTACGTCCGAAACCGCTTCCTTCGAGAGCTACCTCTTTACTAGATTTCGTTTTTACAAGTGACGGAGGTTTCTGTTTACTCCCCTTTTCTATCGGACCAAATCGTTTTCTATTGGCCTCGTTTTGATGTTTTAAATCCGATTTAGCGATTTCAACAGTAGATGCCACTGGTGTTGTGACTTTAATGGGTACATTAGAATTAATGACCTCTACTTTATCATTCCTAGGAATGTAACGTAACTTTTGACCTCCTTTTCCAACTTGAAAGGGTTTTGTATTTTTAAAAAATGTAAACCATCGGTCTGTATCGTCCACAACTGGTACGTATGCAGTCATTGTGCAGACTGTATAATTTCGTTTTAGAATATAATGTAAACGATCCAAGTTTATTAAATTAATAAAGCACTCACTTATTTTAAAGAACTCTCTTTAAGTGGACTGTACACGTAGTGTGACCGTTGATGAATGAACAGTCTGTCCCGTCACTGTTCAATATATAAATGTTTATAGTCTCGACATCTCTCGGTAACAGTTTTACATAATATACGTTTTGAAATATGCCAGTGGAGACACCTGGTGGTAGGCGTCTTAAGATCTGACCTTTATATCCATTGTATGTAGATTCCGTGACAATATCACAGAAAACATCCAATCCTTTCGAGGTGTCAACACTAGGTGAAACATTTATTTCACATAAACCAATTGCAAAGTAACCATTGGACAACTTTAGCGTATTTGGAAGTCTAACACCAAACCCTACTGAAGTGTTCGATCTATAATAATCTATAGAATCTCTATCACTCAAATATAGATATGAACTGCTCAACATGTTGACTCTTCGTTTATTTGTTGGCTTGTGACTATTTTTCCGAAAGCACATCTGTTATTTATACTTCACCGATAGTTAGATTATATGTCCTTTATGTCTGAAACTTTCACCCAAGTGGCAAACTTAGGACTATAGTACCTCCATTTTACTAGAGCCATTTTGTTGGCGCCTCTACCTTTGTATCGGATAACAGATTCAATTTCATGTTCACCCTGGGGATCATAGTCAGTCACTAGTTGAAGTTCGGGCCCGTAAAAATACGAAGTTATTTCATTGTTCATCAAGTCTACAACTCTATACATGGGTATGTTTTGACGCCGTGTTCTATCTTTAATGACAAAAATTTCTTCGCTGAATTGTTTTAAATCGGATTTATTAAATTTCCTGGGTACTTGTGAAATACGGACGTAATCACCTATCTTGAATGTGTATGGCCTAGGTTTTTTATTCTTTTTCTCATTCCTTTTAGTGGAACCTTTGTTGTTTGTAAATTGACGTTTATAAAATATCTTTTCATTCTGCAATGTCACGTCTTTGGGAGCACTTTGACCCAAAACTCTACTAGGTGTGGCGTTGATACCATCAACTATATCCTGGAGAACATCTATGTATCTATTCGTTTTATTATAGGTTAAATATCTGCCAATTTTAGAGCGTAAAACTCTAATTTTTCTTTCAATTATTGCGGCCTTTGTTTCTGAGTTAGATGAGGTATTGTATTGTATATTCAAGTTTGTTAACATCTTTCTGAAGTCCCCTTTGAATTCACTTCCTGCAATATTATGTAGACAACTGAATGACCTCAATTCTTACACTCCAGAAATTATAATTGCATTCTACACGTGATGAATAAATTATGAAAGTCGTGTAACTGCTAAATATACTGTATGATAGCATATATAAAGAAGTACTCGATAGTAGCATTAAAATAGTATTGATTAAGACTAACCAGAGTCGGAATAAACAAGAGTTGGCTTTAATCTGGTCGGGTTCTCATCTAGGATCTCTTTAAAAGCTTTTGCTGCAGTTTCCGATCGCAAGTTTAACATTGGTTTTGCCATCAAATAACGACTGAGGACGTCACATATCACTAATATATAGGGGTATTTCGAGTTATACTTTGCCAACGATGTCAGATGCATACTGTCAATTTGCCATTCCCAATCTAAACCATATGATATTGTTTTACGACGTTTGAATCGTCTGCGTACTTCCCTATGTAATGTATATGCTTTTTGGCCAGCCAAAAACCTTTTTATTTGACCTAGAGAGATTTTATATCTGTTATCTTTCTTTACAGCTTCATACAGACTCGATGGACCACCTAGAGAACCCCCTTTCGACAGATTGTAGTAAAGAGTGCTCAAGTATCGATCTTGTGACGTTGACATTCTAACACTTAATGAAATCTATGGTTAAAGTATGTATTTAAATATTAAGTGAAGGGATACACCAGAGGAATTATATGTCACATGACCTCATAATAAATACAAACACAGTGTGTTGAATATGTTGATGGGATTTATTACATTTATTTTATATTATTTCCTTATTACATTTAAATGACTAGTATATTTCTTACAAATTACACTAACTTCATTTTTAGATAAATCCTTTATATGTAGGAATTAGCAGTATTGTTCCATCTATAACAACGTGATTGTTTCACATTAACTTTTGCCTTTGTCATTCTTGTCACATTTATATGTAGAGAAAAATATAATGAATATTATTTTTTAGTTCTTAAAACAGTCACATATAAACGATCGTATTTGCTGCTGAGAGTAGCTCTCTGTAGTGAGTATTGTAGAGTTCTTTATTCCCCACTCTGTTCATAGACTGTTTGTAGCAATAAAAAGGTATGAGTCTTTCCTTAAACACACGCTCTATCTCGTCAGTCTCCTTCTTTAGATCCTCTAATAGTTTGGTTATTTCTTTTATTTTTTCGCATCTCTCATCAAAATCAGCTGATATGTAAAAACCGTCCATGTTGACTGTATAGCTGCAATTGTAAATCGAAGTAGTAAGTATTTCTATCATACTTTTTATATTAAAGACATATAAAACTAATATAAGGCAAGTTTGTCAAAAATGTGTCATATCAAGAGCATTAGTTTACTTTGATATAATATCAACTTGGATAATATCAACTCATATTACTGGATATAAGTGATTTCTCATTTGATAACCTAAATATAGTTTGAATGAATTTACATATAATACTGGCATATACTCACCTGGATGACACCATCAAAAGTGTGCAGAATCCCCAATTCTTTTCTTCCTTAAGCGTGGTCGGAGCGTTTCCTGGTGAAATATACCAACTCAGTGCTCTCAATACTTTTATTTGACTATACGAATGACGTCACTGTTTACCTTTGCCTGGTACCGTAAGTGTAAATAAATATTTATGAGTAACCATGGTGAATGACGCTAACTTGATCTTTTACTGGGAAGCTATACCATTGTGTAGGTAAATATTTTCTTGTTACTATGGGAAAGAACGCTAACTTGCACTATTACTATACAATTTGACTTTAGAAACACCTTATTGTTTACCTGTTGCTAGGAAATTTGTACACAAAGTATGATTTACCTATGGGCATAATATTTAATGTATATTAAGTTTTATACGGTGTCATTAACTTTTGTTCTTTCGTTTAAAAATAGAGGAGCTATGGCTGAATACTGTGTTCAAGTTTACAATATTAGATTACCAATCATAAGGTATCAATGTTACCTGTGAACGTAGCGCCTACGATCATAAAGCTACTGTAGGGTTCAATACCACTTTTTTCCACTATGTTATCAGAAAATGACATTCTTACTCCTCGACAACTAGACTTTAAATGAGGGCTCTGAAGGACTTCATCTTAATTTATAGGGAAAATAACATAAGAAAAAACCTTTATATATGTCATATTAGATTTATTTATTTATTTTTTCATACGTCTCATATTAGCAAAGTTTTACAAGTTCATTCAAACACGCAAACACACACTTTTAATGTAGTTTGATCAAGTCTCGTATAGTGCACATTGTACACGTCTATAAAATGTTCAACTCGGCCATTTTAGTCTTTTTTATATCATGGTGAGATAGGTTCATATACTGTTTGTTCAAGGACATTTCTGTCTGCATCAACGCGCGTTTCACATGATTCCAAATCTATGTGGAAATTAAAGTCATCGGGTTTGTCTGTAAGTGGCAGATATGAATCGAAGTCCAAGTCAGAAATGCCAGAATAAATGCTCTCCGTGGAACTGCTTAACAGATGGTTAGATAAATCTAAGGTCGGCGAAATATACTTGAATGGGTCTTCCAATTCAATGACTGGAGTAGGTGGAACATCTAGAGCAGGTTCTGTCTGCGTGCTCTTGTCGCTAGCATCCAATTTTAAATGTCTAAATTTAGGAGGGACTCCTGTCTTGCGTGTGGTTTTAAACGGGGTATACTGGCTCGGATCTGTGATGGCTGTAAAGAACAACGAAAAAAAGTTTTTTTAAAAACCCTATTTCATTCTAGCATATTAATCAGTGTGCATAGATTTATTTCCAAGACGAGTGATTTTTTTTTAAAATACTCTAGTATGTATAAATATATGTAAATCTTAGAACATTTACTTCCCATTTTCATATGCTATGAAAGAAATATATTGTACTTACCATTTACTACTGGCACATCAGAGTTGTCTTGAATACAGTTGTCTATGACTGGCATCCATTTCTTTAGATCCTCAAAATCACTAGTACTCATACACACTTCGTTCATAGTGTTGCCACACTGATCGGGACGAGATCGTTTACGTTTGAATTCGAACAGTATTTCACCTTGCTCGTTCTCGTATACGATCAATGTTAACAGTTTCTTTTCGCCGATGTTTAAAATCATTTCTTTAGAGGCGCCACTTTTGATGCATGCCACTAAACCTTCTATGTTTGCGAGGCTGTCCTTAAGATTACTCCACATATATACTGTTACTAGTATACTGGTTGTGCAATATTGACTTCTTTCTTTGCTCCAATACTTCTTCTGTAGTACCAGGAACGGTTTGGCGTATTCCCCCTTTTTAATTTCAACATAAATAGTTTCACTGATCTGAAACAGTCCCACACTCTGCGTAGTTGATGTTTGATTGGTGTTCTGCATTTTGCCTTTTTCCTAGTCCTTCTGTCTGTATGTTCTGTCTGTATGTTCTGGTGAAATGTAACAACTTGTACTCTCTCGATACTTTTATTCGACTCTATGAATGACGTCACTGTTTACCTGTTGCTCTGCAAATATTCCATTGTGTGGGTAAATATTTTCTTGTTACTATAGGGAAGGACGCTAACTTACACTGTTACTATAAAAAGTTTGTCTGTGTTTCACGTCTATGTTTACCTGTCACTAGGAAGCTATTCCATTGTGTAGGTAAATATTTTCTTGTTACTATAGGAAAGAACGCTAACTTGCACTATTACTATACAATTTGACTTCAGAAACATCTCATTGTTTCAGAAACAAGTCAAATTCTTTACATAGAACTATCTCATTGTTTACCTGTCGCTAGGAAGTTAATCCATTGTGTAGGTAAATATTTACCGGTTACTATGGGGAATGACGCTACCCTGCCTATGTATGTCAACAACCACGGTGTGTTCAGACACGTTGGTAATAAAGACCTAAATGAACACCAGACTACCAGAATTTTACATTTAACAAAGAGCATTTAGATAATTTAATCATTCATTAAAGAGACGCAGAACATTAAACACATAAATAAGAATAGTACTCGTGACAACAATTATGATCATCGGTAAAAACTTAAGTGAAAACGTGTCAACATTAGCAGAGTTCATTACACCTAGGACATACGGGCCAGATCGTCTCAAGGCTTATGTTGGTAAGAGTTGTTTATAATAAGCTACTCGTGTAATGCCTCATTGATTCAAAGTTAACAATTCTAATCGTCATAAATACGTATATATTTTTTTATTATTTTTTTATTTTTACAGATATACCATCGCTTCAATTGGACATGATCATACCTGCATTGGTTTGCATTATTGTACCGATTGCCGTTGTAACAGTGGTTTCCCTGACCTTGAAAAGAAGATCGACACCAACATCATCGGCAGTTGATTCCATAGATTGCCTCGGCGGTGGTGAACGTTCTGAAACGAATCTAGTGAACACGGTCAAGGACAATTCAAAGTAATATCTACTACTTTTTTATGATTACATTCGGAGGTTAACATGCACATTAAAGGTTCGTGCTTGGACGAAGATAACGATGGGACTTGCGTGACATTTCACTTATCAAAGATAGATTTTCAAAAACCCAAGGGTTCGATCGTAAGACCACTGGAAAATGAACTACCAAAGATGTTAAAAGTCGGGGCTACATATATCTATCGTATAGGGGATAACGTAATCATAAGAGAGTATTCGGCGCAACAACATGCTAATACTATGGTCATGGTACCATCCATTCAACCTGGAGACTTTGGTATCATGACATCGAGGGAGTTCGACTATTTGATCGAATGCTTTTTCGAAACGGGAGGCCTGCGTTCGTTAATATATTACTTGGACGTGACCAAAACACCAGATGACCAACACTTGAAGTCGTTCGAATTTATACCAGATCGATTCTACCATTTGGGACTAGGTTACGAATTTAGAGTCTTCGCTGAAGAAAAGTTGCTATCAGTTACATCCACAGAATACGACAGACCTAACAGTACAAGAACTCTGAAATGGCACGTGACATTCTCATTCGCAGATGTTATGGACATGCTAAAGGATATTCGACTATTGATCCCTCGGTTACCTTTAGAGGAACGTAATTGCCTTGCCCATTTTCCGCTGGATCATATGAACCAAGAAGGAATGATGAGTTGTCTTGTCTGTCAATATTTTAATGATGACTATGACCTATACTGACATTGATTGATTTCATTCCGCCATGTTTGTATATTATAATATGGATTTTTACTTTTAATAAACATCTAATTTTTCGTACAAAGTACATATTACATTGTTTGTTCGTTAGTTAAGCTTATTAATACACCGTCCATTTACATTTATTAGTATACAGAAAGTCCATACAACAAGCTCGTACCGACTCTTCTATCGTAATCTTATTAGTCAAATTCTCATCTACCCTACAGGCTGATCATCACCAGACCATTTCAAAAAATCACTTATCGGATTAAAGGATTATCACAAAAAAAATTCTACATCCTTCATCGGATTAAAAGATTATCGGTACGCCGATTCTGTCTTTAAACCCATTAGGGACAATCTCAGACACAATAGGGATAAGCGATAATCTGTCGCTAGTTCGGTCCTAGACAGACAATAGGGATTAGAGATAAGCCATCTATAAGCCTATAAGCCGATTAGTGGGGACATCTCAGAGATAATCCGCCTATGTGTGAATATGAAACTACTGTGAATTCCACCCTGAATGCCATTAATGTGATAATTAAAGGGACAATTTGATCATTTTTCTTTTGAACTGTATGCATAGTGCCCCTTTAAGTATATAGTTCATAACTTATATATGATATACGGTACTATATGACTTGATTGTGTAATGATCAATCCATTCTGGTCTACCCCTCTCATTTGCCTTTTGCCGCTCTTTGGAAAGATCAAGGCAAAGGAGGGGCATGCATCCGATGTGATCAATCCAGTGTGACCCGACATTTCCAAGAAACCTTGGAAAAATCATGTATAATCAAAGTAATCAGTCAGGAAGGGCTGCTTTACTATTCTTATATTTTGTCTTAAGGTTGTTTGTATAGTCTCATGCCAGGCCTCTTTAATCTAGAAGTAGTTGGTGTTTCATCAAACAGTTTTCCCAATCTGTAGGTTTTCCTCTTGAGTAGTACTGTTTTTACCATTGATGACTGTTTTATATGCTTAAAGATAGGATCGAGGGAATGTTCTATTTATTACCACAAAGGACTACATTGTAAACGTGTGCTAATGGGTGGGCATAAAGATAGGCATGCAAGCAGGTGGCTCAATCTTGTCTTGAAGAATCTGTTCATCATGTTCACAGTTGCAAAAGCAGATTAGTGCCAAGATCTGATTAGGTATTTGACATGCTGGGTTATTTACTAGGTGGCAATATTTGCTCTTCAAGTATGTCTGTTTCACTATTCATATATTTGAAATAAACAGTTAATAAATACAACAAAATAAAGAGATATGCAGAAAATGGACTCATTGAATAGTTACTGGTGTAGCGAGGCTTATGAGGCAGGTGAGGCACTTGCCTCTACACATTTTACAGAGATATTTTTTCAACCAAAACTTGAAATGAAGGTCAAAGATCCTTGTAAGTTTACATCTTTTAATTTTGCCTGGTAGTTGTTAAAGGGATAAATGAGGGAATGGTAAACACTATTTTTATTCACCTCAGCCTTACTTGATCTAAAACATTCAGATATTATTATTAAAATCGATGACCTTTTAAGTTATAAATGAATTACTGACCATTGCACTTATTAAATGAAGTAATATAATCCAAATGATTCAGAAATCTGGAAATAAAAAGTTGATTTATTATATTTACTATGCAGAAAAAATGAATTTTCTTACAATCCTTGTTTGAGAATAACTTAGTGGAATTTACTTTGAATACCTTTATTGATTTCTCTAGCATGCTAATCACCAATTATAATCCCTGATCATAGGTTATTTTTTCAGTACAATCACTACTCATGCATTTTTTATTTACCATAATGGTTAATGATACTATAATCAGGACATAATTAGATTGAAGTTTGAATATTTTGAAAAGAAATATGAGATGAGAGAAATGAGAGATTAGTGATATCCAACTTAGGTTTAGAAATCAGCAACAGTGACTTTCTGCATCTGTAACACATCGTTACATTTTTGTAACCATTTGCAATACTTAAAGGTGGTGACATTATATCAACATAATTATTACAAAGAAATCATAATTTTGCCAGACTGTTTATTTCAGAAATGAAGAGGTATTGATGTAAGTTATGACATATTGATTAACTGTAACACTGCCATAAAATTGCAGATTTTAGAAATGAATGATTGACATGTGACTAATGTGTAATTTTCTATTTCAGAAACTGAGCGACATATCAGAGCCAATGCACCTTCATATAACAGCGCCTTTCAGTATGCAGTAAGTCAAGTTTTATGGGAATAATCATCTATAAATAAAGATATTAATCAGTCATATTTCATAAACCCTATTCAAGGATAGAAAAATGAACAAATATGGCTTTCAAGACTATTGATGTAACATTTGATTCAAGCCACATTACCAGTTTTTCTTATATCATCTAATGACTTGATAATCAATGGGTTAATTTCTAAAGATTCTAAAGATCAAAGTGTCATTTTCATATTGATTCCTTTTTGGCAGATTATTATCCCACCGAACGAAGTTTGAGGGGGATATAGAGAAGCCGTCCATTCGTTCGTCTGTGCGTCCGGGTGATAACTCCAATACCGGTTGACGGATTTGGTTCAAATTTTATAGGCTTATGCCTTATGAGTGTAGGACCTCTGCTCGAGAAGGAATTTTCAATATGGCCGTTCAATTCAAAATGGCCACCATTTTTCGTACAAAATGTAATCGTTGATAACTCAAATACAAATTGACGGATTTGGTTCAAATTTTATATGCTGATGCCTAGGGACAAAGGAGTTTCGCTCAAAAAGAGATTTTTAAGATGGCCACTTAATTTCAAAATGGCGGCCATTTTTCGTAAAAATATGTAATCTTTGATAGCTCAAATACCAGTAAACGGATTTGGTTCAAATTTTATATGATGATGCTTAGGGACACAGTAGCTATGTTCGACAAAATTTTTCAAGATGGCCGCTTAATTTCAAAATGGCGGCAATTTTTCGTAAAAAACGAAATCTTTGATAAGCTTCTATCACAAAGTGCACAAACATTTCAACATTTACACTAGCTATAATAAGCATAATATGTTTTGTTCAGTAGGATTTGCTACTCCGTGGAGTTGCTGTTTTTCTAGTTGGCTTTTCTTTGCGATGTTTAGCTTTCTAGGTTGCTCATTTAAGTTTTTGTATTCAATTACAATGAAACCCTTATATCCGAACACTTCTTGAAATCTGAACACTCAGTATGAACACTTTCTTTGTCTCAAATGTTGAGATATGAACACTTGCTAATTTGAACACTTTTGGCTGGTCTTATTGATGCTCAGATTAGACAGGTTTTACTGTACCCAAAATTATTATAGCAGGTCTAGGCCTTAAATAAAAAATTGTCAAGTTATGGAAATTATCAATTTATCAGAGTAATAAATTGATACTCATAAGATACATATTACTAGATTCCAATTACAAATGATATTATGTAATAACTTATTGATAATTGATAAGTGTAGTATTCCTATAAATGAAAAATACAGAAATTGTCAATTTACAGAAATTGTCAATTTACAGAAATTGTCAATTTACAGAAATTGTCAATTCACAGGTCATTATACATCTATAGGAATCACAGACTGATCCTTGTAGAATCATCCTTATTACCTCTGTATTTCTATAGCAAAACATAAAATAATGAAGTAATTTATGTAGAGAATAGAATGACAAACATCATTGTCTGATGTTTTATTTATGTTATCATCAGGATGTAATACCAGTGCAAATATGTTGAATGCTAGAGGAAAATCAATTAATACCAGGCTATTAACAGTAAATTGTAAGTAATAAGTATTGTTATACAATATCAGTGTACAATCATGATGCATGCTACTTCAGAAAGATTATATCAATTACTGGCTGTGAACATTGAAATATATCAATATATTTCTATTAATACATTGTCAAGTTTCGTATGTGTGAATGGTAAATTGTTGTTATATGAAAACTCAAACATCATGGAAGATGTATGTTCAACTAGAAGCTAAATCAAGACATACATAATCTATCAAATCCTTACTCGAAGGAGTATGAATGTCATCTATTATCATGAACTTGACATGACTCAATCATAATGGACAAACAGGTTGATGGCTGGGTCAAGGTCGACGTTAGGTCATCTGGGTTAATATATAAAATTGCTTTGCTATTTTTAAGAATAAACTCACGATGCCCATGTCAAGCAGCGTGCCTACTAGGCACGCAGTTTGAAACTCTGACAAACTGCGCGCATATTTCAAAATGTGAGACGGGGAGGACACGACTCCCAAAAAGAGCCAAAATACGAAAAATACAAGGTTAGTCTCGTTCTAAAGATAGTACCATTCTGTGAAGATGAACTTAATTTACTCATAGTACTCAATGTTTTTCCCGATGTAAACCTAGTTATCTCAATATAAGGGTCTTAAGTAACTTCTGTGTTCAAAATTTACAGTGTAAAGTTATATCTATGTCTTTTTATCGTCATTTGCCGTTTATTCAGCCATTGTGTCTGTGTATGCTAGAATATATAGGATCACTCCATCTGATTAAAACAGCAAAGTTTGTGTTCAAAACGATAATACGCCATAAACGTGATTTAAACATTTTTCTTGTCAAACTGCGCGCCTATATTCACATGTATTTCCTAATATTTCAAAACTGCTTGCCTATCCAAGCTTGTTTTGTATTATTAGAAAACATAAGCGCCATACAAGGCACATATGTGTCTAATAGTAGAACCCCATAATTGAAACACTATGAGAGTCCATCCACCAAGATGGTGATCTGAAAATAAATGTTTTTTTCGTTCCCAACTTAATTGTCACTTCTATTATACATTTTGACTTTCAATATGAAAATCTCATAAAATCTGACGATAAAGCAAAATTTCCAAAGCTACATCGAAAACACCTACACGTACCTCTGTAGAAATTCCAATGATAATATGTAGTTTTAATAGTGTATGCACACATATTGTAATTTCTGGCTAAAATAGGCGCGCAGTTTGTGGTTTATTTCTTTTTAATCTCCTGATTATCTGTTTTATTTCGAAATATTTTGAATTAAACATGATAAATGTGTAAGGAATTAAATATAAAACGAGTCTAAAGTATTTGTCATTTATGTTTAAAGTGCTAGATCGATTTACGTATAAATTCCCATTAAATCAGTGACGAAAATGCCATTAATCTGCTTATGTTTTAAAACTAAGATTCATTTGCACACAGTTTTTGCTAGTATTTGCAAGATTCGTATATTCGCCACAGAATGAACGCATTGAACAAGAAAACAATGCAGGATAAATGTATTTAAATAACGTTTCAAAATACAGACTCCAACTTAAATGATCCAATGTTCTTAGGCACGCAGTTTGTGATCGAAACAAACTGCGCGCCTAAGTAGGCGCGCAGCTTGACATGGGCACCGTGAAACTCTGTGATGACATTTTGTCATGTTAATGCATTGTTGATAATGTAAAGCAAAATTATCCCTATCATTTAACAAGAACATGCATATTTATTAAAATGTTTCATTTGTCTATTTCAGAATAATTACATCAAGACTTCAAAGTACAATATATTTACATTCGTTCCGAAGAACTTGTTTGAGCAGTTCCAAAGGATCGCTAATGCCTATTTCCTCTTCTTGTTAATATTACAGGTTAGTACGATATTACTGTGAACACATTCGGGAAATGGCGAATTGCGTTACCTTCTTGATGTCTACAAATAAGTCTGTTCATCATGAAAATAGATTTTCCATTTCCTGAATGTAGTTTTGTCTTTATGCAGCTAAAAATGTTTAACAAAGAGTCTTTTACATAATATTATACTTATACATGGTATGTGATCAATGGTTGTTTTTTTGTAACATAGTGTCCGCTGATGTCAAATGATAGATTGTTGAAAAAATCATCTTAAAAATATGTAAATGGTCAATGTAGTAGTATCAGAATAGAGGAAATTAAATACTTACGTTTGTCATAAAATATATATTTACAATGTTTTAATGGAATATCTTGCTTCCTAGCTAATCCCAGTGATCTCGTCACTAACCGCAGTGACCACCATCGTTCCATTGGTGGCCGTATTGTGTCTCACGGCACTCAAAGATGCTATTGACGATATTGTAAGTCACATGACCAGTCACCTGACCATTCGCATGAAGAGCTACAAAATTCATCACTTTTTTTCATCCAGATAGCTGGCCTTTTGCACTTTTACAGTTGATGTTGTATTTTTTATATTTATGCGAAGTTATCAACTCCTGATATCTTGGACCGTAGTGATTTTGTGGGTACTGTACTTGAGTAGCATGCTAGTAAAATGTATTGTCTTAACTCCCTTCAACAAGTGTTTCATAAAATGAGTAATATATCCAATAGGGTCCAAGGAATCATGGGATTGAAATACTTCCTTACATTTATAATTTTTTGCTAGATTTTTAGAGATGTCATAGCGTTGGACATGAAGATCTAGACGTTACTTAGCAACATCGTACGATGCAGTAATAGCCCATTATATGTCATCACATTGTGTGCACTTGTTGAAATATGCTTTAGATATTGTGCTTATTAATCTTGGCTAGTCCTTGCATAATTATAATTCATGTATTTGTTAAATGAATAAAAATCTTGAGAAGAATATCTTTCTACAGAAAATAAATAGCTACATGTACTTTGATAAATTTTTATATTAGTATATGTTTTATATTTTTGGCATTCAGAGCTATTTAAATAGATTGTTAAAGCAATATTTGATTCAACATTGATTATTCAAAGACTGGTCCAACAAGAGAGGATAGTAAAACCCATAATGCTTAGCTTAACCCCCATGAATTCTGGGATTATTCTCCTTTCTACCAAACATAAATTTTGTGTTGTATCATTTAGTAATATACAGTAAAACTTCGTCATACAAACAGCTCTCTAAAGTAAACACCTCAAAATTTGAACGCTCCGTCAATCTATTATTTCTCAATTGACTCTCTTGTATAGGATGACTCCTTCGGTTAATAAGATTGAATCTGTTTGATGTTCTTATACCAATATTAGAAATAAGAAATCTAAAAACTGTTAATACGAGGGTTGATCCAAAAGTTCTGAACCATAAAGTATTAAGATCTTTAGAACAAACGGTTCGGAACTTTTGGATCAACCCTCGTACATCACTGATTCACTGTACAATGCTACAATAGATGCAAACGTCGGAATAATTCTACACAAAGCTGTTCACTATGGCACTATGGCAAGTTCTACTATTTGCATCAATAATGTAACACAATTTTGAAGTTGGTAAATTGATGTTGTTGATGCTATGAATTATTTATTCACTTTCAGACATACATATTGTATGAATGAACCATATGGGAAACATCTGGAATGTCAGTTTACTCTTTGATAACCAAGTAAAATGCCAACCCTTTCAGGTATATTAATAAGGCACTGAAACAATTCACTAGAATGTCATATCTCATATTCCGATTGTGACGATATAAGATCCATTAGCCATTAGCGAAATTAAAAGATGCTCCCAGAAATAACACATTTTACACTTAGTACTACACGGTGCTCCAAAAAATGACTGTCATAGATTTTCTGTGTATTCATAGTTTTTGGACCATCCTGTATTTTGGTTATCGTATCATATTTTGGCACTCCTTATGTTGAACAAACGTTAATTGAGACACTCTGGACCAAAATTAAAACCCTAAATGGCGGGTTCTTAAAATATCTAAATATCTTTGAATCTCTGAATTCATTATAGAACTATGATCGCATGTTAGTGAAATAAATCAACATTGTAACACCCACGACCTTTGTTTTCCCCCAATAATGCTTTTTGGCTTTTTAAAATCTTAATTGACAGAGTCTCTCAGTCTACTTTTACTCATTGCATGCCCACATCAACAGCACAGGAGCAGTTTAAGTCCCTTATATGTCCTTGTCACACACTCGAGACTGTGGACATACATCATGTACATACAATTACATTGACGTATTGTCATGTTTGTGCCAACAATGTGTTTTTTGAGGAATATTTTGCTTCAATGATTGCATTATTTAATGACAATGTATAGTGCTTTGTAACACATTGATCGCAGAATTAGGTGATGATACTGAAACGCTCCCAGAACCATGTTTTTTTTCCTTCACTGAAATCAAAGAGGCCCATAACAAAAGGAATCACCCCAGAATTCATAGATGAACAAAGTTAAAATGAACCTCTCAAGGTTTACTCTTGAATTCTGGGATATTTCCCCCTCTTTTTCTCCATGTAGCACTGATTTTTTAGCACTAGTATTTTATATCTTGTTGTTTTTGGCTGTGTAGTTAATACCCGCAATCAGTTCATTGACACCAGTAACAACAGTTATCCCGCTTTTGGGTGTCCTCATTCTCAGTGCAGTTAAGGACGCAGTTGATGATATAGTAAGTGAAGTAGGAATAGAGTATGATCATAATGGAAGATAAGATTCTGAGTAGTATTTCAGCACTCACTGCAGAGAAGGATGCAGTTGATGATATAGTAAGTGAAGTAGGAATAGAGTATGATCATAATGGAAGATTCTCAGTATTAGGTATTTCAATACTCACTGCAGAGAAGGATGCCTTTGATTGTATTGCATGAAGGTTGAAAACTATGTTGATAGTCGTTGATCTAGTAAAGTAAGTAAGTGAAGTCAGAATGATGCCTGTAGTTTTCTAAGTAAAGGGTGTTTCGATACTACAGATACGAATGCCTTTGATGGCATTGTACATGGAAGTCGAAAACTATGGAAAGAAAAAGCCTGCTTTTGAAATGTGCATTTAAATTTGAAAAAGAGGTGAAGGGATGATGTAATCAAAAGAAGGGCAAATCAATACTTCTCAAGTTTCGTTAGAGGGGGAGGGTGGTGATACTAACATTATTTTTCCACATTTAATTGTTGATAAATGGACACCATCCCTAAGTTAGTACTCCAGTGTTAGTCTGATGCCTTCTTTTTACTTCAATGTACAGGTAAGCCATCTTTACATATATACAAACATATTCAAAGGTAAAACACCACAATCCCAATAACATATCATTACATGTTTTATTATTATATTTTTGTATTATTCCAGTTCCAGTTTTGTACTAATTATTATTTTTGTATTTTTGTATATATTAACACTTGACTAACAATTCTTTTGCTTTCTGTTGTAGTTATGATAGAGACATTTAATTATTATTATTAGTAAGAACCTAAGTTCATTTCTAACATTTTTTACAGTTCTACAGTTTTGTGTTGTTTACTAACAGTCACCCTCAACATACCACCTTCAGGTATAGGATTAACAAGACTATTCCTTAATTGCTTTTGGATATGCTTCTTTTTAATTGACATTTTCCAATTAGTTACATACTGGTATAGGCAGATATTGGGGTTATGACAGGCATAAAGGAGCGAGGTCAAGTCAGTATTTTTACCTTTGTTACTGACTGTTTAGAAGGTATCATTCAGGAAATAGAATATGACCCATGTTGATATTACCTCGGCTTAATAAGGCTTGTTGGTATTTTGCGTAGTTCATCCCTGCAGTGACTTCACTGAGCCCTGTTACTACAGTGATCCCCCTAGTTGGGGTACTGCTGATAAGTGCAATTAAAGATGCTGCTGACGATATTGTAAGTAAATTAAGGGAATCTGTTGTAGTCAGGTGGAAGTATATGTACTTGTGTATAAGTGTATCTAGGTAAATCCGCTTTATTTAGTACCCCCAGACCTAGAGCGTCAAGTCCCAGGCTTATGTTGAATTGTTGACTTATGTTAGGCAGTCAACCATAGCACAGGGGCATTTGGTTTAGATGTAAGATATAGAATTCTTGTTATCTGAAGAATTTAGGTAATCTCTTTAAAGCGGATATCATGAAAGTCAAAGCTAACAGAAATGTTCACTTTATTGTTATCCTATTGAGCATCAAATTTAGTTGTAGCATTGAGAATGTCTGTTTTTAAAACCACAAATATTTAACAGGCCCTCAACAAAGCCCCTTATCAATATCACATTGATTCACTAATAAAATGGTGACATCAGTTCCAACCTCAATGTGTGTACTGATTTGAAGTTGGGGTTCTTTAAAATAAAAGGTTTAAAACATTTTGAAATCATGTCGCTTCAGACATTTAAAGAAGGTAAGGGGACTTCATTGTAAAAAAATCAACGAATGAAAAAAAACCAATGATCTAGTTTTGTGAAGTGGAGATTTTCTTTGTGGGAATTGTGCTGGGACTTAATGTTTTATGATCATGGTTTCAGTTATTCTTGGTATTAGTACCTTCAGAAGAAAGGGAAGGGGGTTTCCAGGCTTTAAACATTCTTCTTCAGCTTGTTAGCTAATACCCTTTAAATAATTGATTTGTGGAGCAATTATTGATGCAATGTCATGTCAGGCTGTATATTTGTAATTAATCCTGCAGGAATACCAACTACAAGGTCATTGTACCCATACCCTATTTAGCTAGTGTCAGACTACATAATCTTTCCTGCGGGGATACAAACTACCTAGAATGCCCTGTTATGTCTCCCTTTCCCAATTAACACACGCCTTACATTGTTTTAGATTTTATTGTATTAAAAAAGCCATTTTGTTAAGCATTTTATAATAATCCTACAGGAATACTTACGATGTCAAAATGCCCTTATAATTATGTTTCGCTTTCCCAATACACAAAGGCCTTATCATATTGAATTTGTCATTTTGTTAAGCATTGACTTATTCCTGCTTCTCTCCAGCTTATACCTGCTGTTAGTACTCTCTCTGGTGGTACCATTGCTATACCACTGGTGACGGTACTCTCCGTGTCGGCACTTTGGGCCCTCTTGGCAGATATTGTAAGACCTCAAAGAAGACCAGGTCTTATAAGTGATGAACACTCTCTTACTGAGATTTGTTGGTTAAACATTATTGGCACAAATGTTATGCCACAAGACTTCCAGTTCTCACCTATAAGACCATGGTCTATTTTGTGAAAACCCTGAATTATTACCTTGAATATCCCACTATACAGGACCTTACCATTCCAGTAAATCATGCCAAGTACTATTGTGCCATTTTTGCTGTAAAATAGAATTAACCTATTATTTTGAAAAACATTGGTGAGTTTAAAAACACTACTACCAATTTTAAACCAATGACATAATGAACCTTAAACCAAAATTTGTAGTGTGGTCCAGAACACGGTATGGTTTACTGGTAAGGATGATTGAATGAGACCAGACTGATTTTTCTCTTGATCTATTAGATTGAATATACTTTTGTTGTTTTTCTTTCAATTTTATTCCAATGCCTTAAATGCAGAGAAATGACATTCAGTTGATTGTTATGATTTGAGGGTTTCTTGTACAAAACACTACTTGTTAGATGTGGTTTCCAAATCATTGGTTTATGTAAATGTTGAGTTACCATGATTGTATGTTTTGTTTTGCATGCCTTGAGTCTAATTCTTAATATGGCAGATGAATATAACATATACATTCAAGTCTTATGAGTCTTGGATTTTAATTTAAAACTACTAACAACTCTAATATGACACAATAAAGTCTATATTACATAATCACATCTGTGATGTTTCAATCCATTTCATAAATGTTATCTAGGGACAGGGGTGGGATATCGATATTTGCCTATAATCATAATTAATCACATTTTGGTGAGGAGGTGAAAATCTATTTGAAGTATATTTGGTCAGGGGGTCAATCTGCAATTTGCTAAATAATAAATAAATTAGGATTGTGGACAATATCATAATGCTGACCTAGTTCCTTTTAAATAGGCATCCTGCTTTTGACCTATTTACATTTACCATAAAGGTAAGATTACTTAAGCTTTAAGAACTTTTCCCTTCTAGAGTTTAAATAAGATCCCTGAAAATATTGAAGTAAGTTGAAATTTTCTATGAAGCACAATATATTTTCAAAGCTTTTTACCAGAACTTTCACCCTTCTTGAGTATTTAAGATCCCTGAGAATGAGAGTGAGTTGAAAATTACAGTAAGTTGAAGTTTTTTTTTATGAAGCATGTGAATTTTTTAAAACTTAATTATTTTATTTTGATCCTATATTCTTGCATGTGGGTCAATGAATATAAGAAAGTTTTATTTCATTTACATTTTTTAAAGTTCAAATAGTTTAATGTAACAATTTGCATAGAGATTATAGAATTTTTAAAGTTAGAATTGACAAATTGTTTAGTAGTAATGAATAATTAAACTGCAGTTGGTTTAGATGACAAATTTAATTTATATAAAACTTATATTATACTATCATGATTCAATTTCTTAAACATTTAAATTGTAAATTTACTTTCAGCAAAGACACAGGAGTGACAATGTAGTGAACAACCGGCGCTCTCTGGTGTTGAGAAATGGCCACCTGGTGGAGGAAAGGTGGCACAAGGTTGTTGTTGGTGACATCATCAAAATGGAGAATGATCAGTTTGTAGCAGTAAGCATATGATTCAACCCATAGAGGGACCAATTTAACATTTAAGACAGGGTCAATTGATTATTGAATACTTAAGGGGTGATAACAATTTGTAGTGTTTATTATCACCCTATGGGGTGGAGTCAAAAGTAGAAAATGTGCAGGGCAGATTAGTGCCAAGATCTGATTAGGTTTTCAATAGATCGAGTAAATTGAAGAATGTTAAAAGTATGATATTTTGTATCATTGTATGATCACTGTATCTTCTTGTTTCAGGCTGACCTCCTGCTCCTCTCTACCAGTGAACCCAACAGTTTGTGTTATATAGAAACAGCAGAACTTGATGGGTAAGTCATACTGGATGATCTTTTCATGAGACTCAAAGAGATTTTGTATTGATCCTCTTAAGCTAGTTTAGAAAGTTCTCACCAAAAACTAGGTCATTGACTCAAGAAGAATTAGCAACCAAGATTCCTTCCCGATCTTCATTTGGCTGGCAGGGAACAATTTGATTTTAATATTCATCTCTAGTATTTTTTGCCATTTGCAAGCTGCCAGATGCGAATAGCATGACCATATAAGGTCATGATGTCAGAGTATCTAGCAAGAAATACTGGGAACCAATCCTCCTTGTCACAGTCTTGATTCAGAATTTACTTGAGGCCTCTAATATTTTTTGAATACTCTATTGTTTAAAACTTTTATATTGTCATTTTGTTATAAAGTATCTGCACTTTTTTTTCATTAATAAAATTATAATTGTGAAATGTAGGAGTCACATATCTCACTCAGCAGATTTAATAACTATGAAATGCATTTCAGTGATGTTCAGGAAGCTTATAAAGGGTATTTATGACAAGAGATTACTTTGAAATATACATGGTGATTAGCGATATAAACTATATAATAAACTTCCATTTTTATTTACATAGAGAGACAAACTTGAAAGTGCGCCAGGCCTTACCCGAAACTGCGGAAATGGGGGATGATGATCAGGACATGAGCAAGTTTGACGGTGAGAATGACAGCTTCAAAGGGCTCTGTCTTAAAAAATCAATTTTTTAAATTCATAACATATCTAGACTTGATGAATCTCATGTTTAATACATGGACACAAAAATGAAACATGATTTTGTCATTTTGAATATCATAATTTTACATAATAATTGCTGTACTCATCAACAAAATGAGAGATTAAAAGCCATTTAAAAGTGATTCCTTCCTAAAAAAATTGACATTTATTCAGGTGAGATAAAATGTGAGGCCCCCAACAACAGGCTTAGCAAGTATGAAGGCATGTTGAAGTGGAATGATAATACTTACTCTCTTGACAATGATAAGATGCTACTCAGAGGATGCGTTCTCAGGTAAACAATAAAACTAGTATTGCTTTGTAAAATTGAAATATTTTCCTAAAGATTTTTGGGAAATTTTTAATCGAATCTAATTCTTTTAGTATAAAAAGCTCATAAAAATCTTATTTATATATAAGCACAAATGCCAAAGGGAAGGGTGACTCAAAACTTTAAAGAAACCCAACAAGAAAAGCAAACTGTAAGTGTAAATCTGTCATAAGAAAAGTAGACCCTATATATCCCAAAACCATAATCTAACGTGAAAAGAAACAATGTCTAACATCCCCCTCCCCCCTCCAATCGAGAACCAATATCACAATCCAGGACCATAACACCAAGGGATGTCTCATAAATTTTCAGGGGTAACAAAGTAATAGATATTTGGTGTCTCATAATATGATAAGTGTATCATGATGTTTCAGGAATACCAAGTGGGCCTATGGTTTGGTAATCTTTGCTGGGAAAGACACCAAACTCATGATGAACAGTGGCAAAGCAATGTTCAAACGTACCCACATAGACAGGTTGATGAATTTGCTCATTATAGGGGTAAGTCATTTTTTAACAGGTTGAAAACCAGTTGATAATAGAGACTTTTCTCTACAGCGTTGATGATTTTTGTCAGTTGTCTCCATATTAAATATTGGGTTACGCAACAACTTCCAAAAGAACAAGTCGAGCAGAGAAAAGCAGTCAGAGAGCTAAAGAAAGAAACAGCTGAAAGTGATAGTCGAGCCAGACTATCTGTTAAGAAGGACAAATTATTTGTCAATGACATTCAAACCTGTCCACCTGTTAAACCTATAACCGATGAAAATGACGTAGATGTTGCATTGAAACTCAAGATAACACATGGAGAAAGGAGATCGTTTTCAAGCACACTTGGTGAACATTACTGATGCATCATCAGTAAAACCTGCCCTCCTCAACCTATACCAAGATCAATTTATTGCGAAGGCATCTTACAATGCATACGTGTACACCTTCAAAAACCACAACCACAAATGTATGGACTTCGATGATGATGGCGAGACAGGCATAACTCGACAACTCAGACAGTGCTTGAATAACTATAAACTTGACAATGTCATGCTTGTCCTAACAGGATGGAAGATGGGTAGAATAAGCCAAGCTGAGAAAACTAAACTAATAGAGAAATGTATTAAAGACACACTAAAGAAAGCAAAAAAGCTTTCTAAATAATAACAATATAGGCCATCGTATTTTTGCCTTACATAGTTACAGTTATACTTACCTTAATAATTCCATATTGACCTAATTAAGGTCTTATTTCAAGACGTTTATATCCAATGGTACACAGGACTTATTTTCTGTTAAGTGAAAGATTTAAGCTTTTGAAATGAACATGAAAGAACAAACTTACCTTTCTACATCTCCAAATATCTCATTACCTGTACACTTTAATGGGCAATTTTTGCAAACACATATAAACAATTGAGCAATGCATGCAAATATACAGCTCATGGACAATGTAATTTCAAAAACAAAAACATATTAGTTAGCTACTGACCTAACTTCAAATTTTGAGCATGCACACTAATTTAATGTGAACTCAAATGGTATGTGTGATTGTAATACCCCCCCCCCCCATTCAATGTTTTTGTTTTGTTTTGTTTTCATACTTACAAGGCGGTTTCTCTTCAATCATTGCCTGCCTAAGAGAAATATCTCTAGTAGTGAACGTTTACCACTATGTAAATATGTTTTTGTATAAGTTTATTGCTCTTTCTTCTTTCCCTTCTTTGCACTTTATTCCTTCTATGAGTCATATTTATCTCTATGTAAAGCCTGACTATGGTTAATACAAATGAATACCACCAGAGGCAGTTGCCTTATTATGATGTTCCTAGCTCCTTTGAGTTACAGACATTAGCTCCATCCTCGGTCAAATCTTTTAACTTTGAAAATATGCTTTTTAATCCCTTGGACTTAAATAACATAGGTTTAAACGAAGATTTAAACGCGAATGACATGATTACAAATCAATATATGAATCAATGTAATTATAGAAATTCCCACCAAATGAAACAATTATTTAAAGATAACAATGATTTTTCAATTTTGCACATGAACATGCGAAGTTTACCCTGTAATGAAATGAATTTTGAGGAACTTGATTCTTTGATTGATGCAAAGAAGCATTTTTCTGTAATAGCTATGACTGAAACATGGTTGCATCCTGAAATTGAACAATTATATCAACATGAACATTTTAACGCTGTTTTTAAATCAAGACCTGAAAAATTGGGAGGTGGAGTTTGCATGTATGTAAATGAACGCCTAAATTTTAAGGTTAGAAATGATATTATTTTCCCTCAGGAAGACCAAAAATGTTGTGACATTCTGACAATTGAAATTACTGAACAAGATAAAAATATTTTAATATCAACAATATACAAACCTCCCAACATATGTATACAAAATTTTAACTCCAATTTAGAGACATTTTTAGAAAACATAATGAAAGAAAAAAAGGTAACATACCTAATTGGTGACTTCAATATAGATCTACTTAAAACTGATACTCATTTCCCCACAGAAACATTTATGACCCTACTGAACAATTACGACCTAAAACCAACAATTTATAAGCCAACGCGAATTACTTCAACAACTGCGACACTAATAGACAACATCTTTACAAATGATTCAAATATAAACTCATCCGGTCTGATATTAGCACACATTTCAGATCATTTACCAATATTTATGACATCAGACTACATCAGATCCAATGATAATTTTAAAACCATCACATATAGGCAAATAAATGGAAAAAACATTAATGAATTTAAAGAAATCTTATCAAAAACCCACTGGCTACAAGTTTTGAACTCCCACAATGTTAATGAGGCATATGACCTTTTCCAATCCAAACTTCAAACAATATATAACTCATGTTTCCCTGTAAAAACACAACAAATTAAAACCACTTTTAAATCAAATCCATGGATAACAGAAGGTATTATTTCATCATCTAAAAGGAAACTTTTACTTTATAAAATATTTCTGAAGTATCCCAGTAATCAAAATGAAAACAATTATAAAACATTTTCAAACACTTTAAAGAAAATTGTTAAAACATCAAAAAAAGAATACTATAAAAATGAATTCAGTCAATCAATGGGTAATATAAAAAAGACATGGAAACTTATTGATAGGGTCATGGGTAGGAACAAAAAAGCTACAAAATTACCAAAAATGATGTATAATGGACATTATTTAAATAACTCTGATGACACAGCCAACAAATTCAATGACTTTTTCACAGACATTGGTCCAAAATTATCTGAAAAAATTCCACAACCCGAAGGAGTTCATTTTGAACAATTTTTACCCCACACTGAGAGAAACATTCAATCAATCTTCCTTAACCCTGTTACTCATGAAGAGATCATAAATATAATATCAAATTTAAAAGACAGCTCAGCTGGCCTTAATGATATAAAACCTGAACTTGTCAAAGTTGCAAAAAAATATCTATACATACCAATGACCTATATATGTAATTTATCCTTAGAACATGGTGTATTTCCCTCAGAAATGAAAAATGCAAAAATAATCCCCATTTTCAAAAAAGGAGAGCCAGACAAATTTACAAATTACCGACCCATTTCTATTCTAGATGTATTCTCAAAAATACTATAAAAAATAATGCATGCTCGCGTGATTAAATTTATTAACAAACATAAACTTTTATATAAAAACCAATTTGGATATTTAGAAAACAGATCCCCGGAATTAGCTATTTTAACATTTCTTGAACAAATAAGATATGCACTAGAAAACAAAAATATATGTCTAGGTGTATTTCTAGACCTATCAAAAGCCTTTGATACTGTCAATCACATTTTATTTTCTAAATTAGAATATTATGGAATCAGGGGTATAGCTTTAGATTGGTTCAAATCATATATGACTAATAGAAAACAATTTACATTTTATAATAATAGTATGTCAAATGAAAGAACATTACTTTGTGGCGTGCCACAAGGTTCTGTATTAGGCCCTCTTTTATTTTTACTTTTTTATAAATGACATTTATAGAGTGTCCAAGGATTTAAATTTTATGTTATTCGCAGACGATACTAATATTTTATATTCTGGAAAAAATGATTTAGATGTATTCAACAAAATGAATGAAGAACTGACGAAATTAGCAATCTGGTTCAATGTAAATAAATTGTCATTAAATATTGAAAAGACAAAATATATGACTTTTACACAAAGAGTAAAACTTAACCAAGGTCTTTCCCTAAAAATTGCTAAAAAACAAATCGAATGTGTTGACAAAATTAGTTTCTTGGGAGTTATCATTGATGAGAAACTCAGTTGGAAAGACCACATCAAGTACTTACAGATGAAAATATCAAGAACATTAGGAATCTTATACAAAGTTAAAGACAAACTATCTCAAAATAGCTTAATTTCTATTTATAACTCACTAATATATTCAAACCTATCATATTGCAACTTGATTTGGGGCAATGCCACCAAAACATCCCTTGACCCATTATTTAAATTACAAAAACGCTTTCTGAGAATTTTGACAACCACACCTCTTAAAGAACACATTTCACACAATTTTAAAAAATTTTCGATTCTCAAACTATGTGATATTCATAAACTCTCAGTTGTATCTTTTGTACAAAAATGCATACATGAGGTTAACACAGTTATGATTTCCCACTTTAGTAATTATTTTATGAAAAATCAAGAGTGCCATAATTACCATACAAGAAGAAAGGAAAATATCCATCGAATAAAATCACGCAATACTTTAACAGAAAACTCAATAAAAGTCGAAGGAGCAAAATTTTGGAATGTGTTACCCACTGAATTAAAACAAATACAAAACAATAAGAAATTTAAAACACAGTTTAAGTTATACCTAATTCAGAATTATCAATCTTAATACGTATAGCCTATTATCCAATGATGTTATATAAAGTGTTTAAAAAAGCGATTGAGAAGGAACTTTTATTTTAACCACTCAAAATGTTGTTCAACACGTTGGTTAGTGGTGCAGGGTGACATCCTAGGAGGTACATGGGCCAACTAGGGGTTAAACTGCATCATTGACTAACATGGACGATTGTTATAGAGATTAGACACATTGAACCCATAATTGCAAACTCTCCCTTCAAATGACTCCCTTTTCCTTTTTCTTTTGTACCTTTTCTATTTCCAATAAACATTTATTAAAACTATTGTGTAATTTAATACACTTATTTTAAGTGTCATTGCATTTTCATTATTTTTCCATCAAAACTGTATGTTATTGTAAAAATTGACTAAACTGAAATATATATTATTATTATTATTATTATTATTATTATTATTATTATTATTTAAAGTATTCTTCGCCATCCAAGGTCACCACTGCCATCTATTTATCCTCCATTAGACTCCATTTTTGACTTGAGGAATAATTTTATGTCATCACCATTGAGTCGTTACATGTATTAAAGTAAATTTGCCCTGCATAATTCTAGGAGCTGTGTTAAATATGGCTCTGGGGGGGGGGCACATATGGTGCACCATACCAACAGTCTACGTAATAAGCTGGCAAATAGAGGATTGAATATACTTATATGACTTATCATGAATGTTCATGTATTTTCAGATCTTCATATTTCTTGCCAGTGTCTGCTTTATCTGCACTGTTGCCTGTGGTATTTGGGAATCAATGTTTGGGCACAACTTCCAAGTTTTCCTGCCCTGGGAAACCTTTGTACCAGGTAGTTATGTGATCACGGTCTCTCCAAGTCAAAGAAATCAGTGTAAAATTAATAAAGTAGACACATTTTGAGCTCATTTGAGCTCATCTCATGTGAATACTGTAATGAATAGTGTATTACATACCTAATCATTTTGCTCAATAATGATTTATAAATCTGGGGTACCCAAATATATAACTTCTATAAATCTTTTGAATTATTTCAGAATTTATTGAACGTGTTCTATCACGAGGTATTTTAGCTATTAAAAGTTTTTCAGTCGTTATGTTCAACAGTTTTGTTGTTATTTGATTTTCAAACTGTAATACTTTTTTTATTTATGTATTTTGATGTTCAGTTCTGGTTATGATTTAAACAATCTATATATGTTAAATAATTATTATATGTTTAGCATTGCCTCCTTTTGAAAATTATAGATAAATATAATATAAGGTCCAATTTTATGACACTATGGAAAATGAAATAATTATTATATCATTTCACACTTATTTTATCTATTTGTGTGTTGATTGCAAAGAAGGTTTTCACCCAGAATTCATTATATGTTTGTTGATTCATTGTTTATTTGTAGGGAGCAAAGCAGGTTTTGACCCAGATGGCAGTGTCGCTGGAGGGTCTACTGTTATAGCTTTACTTGTATTCCTGTCATATGTAATTGTCCTCAATACTGTTGTTCCTATATCGTTATATGTCAGGTAAGATACAACAATATTTATGAGGAATTTATTATTCTGGCAGTGCATGTACTATAGTATATAGAATTGTCCTTGTGGTTATTCTGTACTTTAAAATTCTACCATAATGTACAGATATCCTCATGAAAAAATATTCCCTACCAATTGTTCAGAAATATATGTGTTTATTGTGACATTTGCTCATGCTACTAACCACAAATCAGTACAACACATGAATGTTTAAAGAAAACTCCTTCAAGAGACAAATTATGTATCAATAAACAGGGGTAAATTGCTTTGTTATGAATATGTATTTTGACAAAAAGCTTTGTAAAAAGGATTACCTTTTTAACATACTGCTTTCTAAAGAAGCAGATAAATCTGCTGTGTAACTCTAACCACTTTTAGTAAGTGTCCATGTGTTATTTCGATTACAGTGTGGAGGTGATCAGGTTTGGCCACAGTTGGTGGATCAATTGGGACGAAAAGATGTACTATGCAAAAAACGACACCCCTGCACGCTCTCGTACAACTACATTGAATGAAGAGCTGGGGCAGATAGAATATATCTTTAGTGACAAGACTGGCACATTGACTCAGGTATGTCTATCATGGTCTTTCATGTCTGCATGTGTATATACAAACAATACAGCTGTAACATTATTTGACTGGCATACATAAATAGATGATTTTATTCATCATGAATGGTGGTTTTACAAAATTAAAAGTTAGTGAAGGTAGACAAACATTTCAAATTTATTACAACGGGGGGGGGGGAGGGTTGTTAATCATGATGAAATAAACTTTAGAAAACAATTTTACTCTGAATTTTAGAATATTATGACCTTCAATAAATGCAGTATAGATGGCACTGCTTATGGTGACGCATTTGACAAACACGGGAATGCTGTTGAGATCACTGAGGTAGGAGATATTTAATATTGTTATTAATATTAAGTACAATAAACTTGAAGTTGTTTAGTATGTCGTACTTTAGTAAAATCTGTTTAGAATTATAGTCTGCTGTACTCCGTATATTAGGGTTTCATTCAATTCAAATTCAAAATACTCAATTATCTAAACAGAAGCATTTGGGATTTGAAGAAGATATTGGTCCCCTTCCTTGCTTATATCTTTATTATAACCTTATTCGTGACATTCCTATGTTGGAGACTCATGATTCATAATGTTCTAACTTCTATGTATTTTTGCTGAGTTCATCTTTTAGAATTCTTCACTCCATTTATTTTATATTATTTTATTTAGGCATTAGGGAAATATCATACTAAGTTAGATAAATTTACTTTAAATTCATATATTTACTTATATTCTTATCTAGATTTGTTCATTATTCAATACTTCAGTTTCAATATTATTTCAACCTTTTATTTTATTTGTGTTATTTAAGAAACACAACCGAATTGTGGGTTTTATTTGTTATTAGATTAGATTTCTGTCACTTTATTTCTATTTTATCTAAATGTTGTCTGTAGCGACATAATAAAAGATTAGCGATACTTTTATACTTAATTTTGACATTTCTTTGCTAGCTCAATGAGAGCTATAGTTCTCTAGTATCTTCTGAAGATGGTGTTGATGCCTTTCAAATGGTAAACTCCATGCATGGGGTTGTTGTTACTAATGCATGTGGAGAGGGGTCTGTGTTCATTTGGATGTAGGGAGATGTATAGTTTACTAAGAAAGGTGAAGGAAGGCACATGTTATGTACTCAGACCCTCCTATCCTTAATCTCTTTGAAACCTGATTTTTTGAATTTTGTTTGATAAGAGTAATGCTTTACTTAAGCCTGGGTGTAAAAATGGGTGAGGGAAAAATGGGCAAGGCAAAAATTAATGAGGCAAAAATGATAATGCTATGCAGTTACTTATATAGGACATAATTTTCAGTTTCCAAAAGAAATATCAAAAATTATTTTTCTGTAAAATTGGTGAGACAATTAGCTACATCCATGCTAGTTGTTGTTGGCATTAGACTTGTATTGAAACATAAAGCAAAACTGAAAATTGCTTTACATCTTTGGCTATTGGGAGGAAGATTGTGTTCTTAAACTTCTAACTATTCCTGAAATTCTTCCACCTGTTTTATCAATCATTTGATGCTGCTTCCAAAAGTCCAGGTTTCAAAGGGTTAATACAAACTAAATGCCTGTTACTTAGGGAAACTGTGAGTGCTCAAGCAATTAACATTTGCTACGGACTGTGTCGGTACACAGGATGAATATCAGTCGTATAGGTTTTCAGAATGAAAGTACAAAACTTCAAGTTTTCGAAACATTATTCAGGTCACAACCTACAAATGACTGAATGTTTTGATCTGAAGTTGTAATAACTTACTTGTTATTATATATAATAGCACTGTATCAAATGTATAGGGGAGGTGGAATCAAATAATGACAGAATTTCTTTTTGATCTCAGTATTTTTGTGCTCACAGTGTGTACAGCTTGACCTGAAATTATGAATTATTTTGTGATGGCAAGATATCAAGTAACATCTTTGAATAAAGTGTTCTATGATTCACACTGTATTGTATTGTTTGTATCATATTGTGAGGTCAGTATCATAGATACCTATTGATGTTCACTCTCTCGTATCGTGGTACCCCTACTGTTAATGTTAACATTGTGGTACTTCATCATCCTTAATACATAAGTCACTTACCAACAGATTCTAAAGGATATTTTTCTTTCACTAATTGGGACTGTAACATGACAGTATAGCTGCATGCAAAGTGAATGAGATTAATGAATGACTATTATTCTTTTAAAGTAGGTTTTATTTGATGTTTTACATGAATAAATGTACCATTGATTGATATATAGGTTTACCAAGGTTTATTAACATAGATTTACTAAGAATTGTTTATGATGGATTTGATGGATTTTCTTAATAGTCTTAAATGGACTTTGTTTGTGCATACTGATGGTATGTTTAGTTAGGAAATATTGGTCCTTTAAGGGTTTGCTCATGATGATTGCCTCTTCAATTAACATATTTTGATAAATGCAAAATTTAAAGTGCTGTTAATATGATACTAAAAATTACGAGAACCTTTCAGTTTCAAAATTGTGCTTAAACAATCGTTGTGTCCAAAGAGCTAAAATTATAAAGTAAATTGAGCATGCCTGATGTAAAATTGAGGAGTATGACATGTACTTTCCCTTTTGTATACTAGAGAGTGACTCAACAAAATTATTTTAGATTATAATTTAAAAATGAATTTCTTATGCACTGAATAACAGTAAAACATTGCTGATAAAACAATATGTTCAAGTAATATACTTTTATGTTCCAGCGCACCCCAAAGGTCGATTTTGGAAGAAATCCACATCATGAGAAGACTTTTGATTTTTACGACCAACGTCTCCTCGATGCAGTGAACAATGGGGATAAGAATGCCTGCCTTTTCTTTAAACTACTTGCTCTTTGTCATACAGTCATGGCAGAGGAGAAAGAAGGTAAGACATTGGTTCAGTAAAATGTGTCTAATCTGATTGCCAATGATATAATACATGCATCATGTGAGTATGAGTGAGATAAAATTGGGAAAGAGAATTGTATTGGTGTACCAAGCCCAATGCCCTGATGTGAATGCTCACTGCACACTGAATAATCTAATATGGAGATAAATGATTATATATTGTATATTATTATAGGTGTATTGGAGTACCAAGCCCAATCCCCTGATGAGAACGCCCTTGTATCTGCTGCCAGAAACTTTGGATTTGTTTTCAAGGTAAACTGACTCTGTCTTGCTATTAGTGAAATTTTTCCTGAAGTAGTTATTGGGTGCTTTGTTCAAAACATCATGTGATTTGCACCCAAATATCTTAATCCAAAGTTGGGTACAAAATATTGTATTGGGTACTATAGGGAAAACACATACCCAACCAGTGAATCACAAATGCTATTAATGAATTGGTAATAACATGTAATTTTGTTGCAGTCCCGTACTCCAACTACTGTGACAATTGAGGTTAATGGTGTTGAGGAGACATATGAATTGTTGTGTATTCTAGACTTCAACAATGTACGCAAGCGTATGTCTGTCTTATTGAGACGTGAGGGTAAGATAATGCTTTGGTGCAAAGGAGCAGACTCGTTGATATATGAACGATTGGACCCTAAATGTATGGAACTACAGGAAGTCACCCAAGAGCATTTAAATGTAAGTTTCAGCCTAGACCTTTCGTTTAAATGTAAGTTTGAGCCTAGACCTTTCATTTAAATGTAAGTTTGAGCCTAGACCTTTCATTTAAATGTAAGTTTGACACTAGATTATGTAGTAATGGCCTAGTCACATAGCCCGGCCGATGAGGTTACGATGAGCCAGCGATGCAATTTTCACCGAACTCGGCTGAACACCGGCCGGACACCGGCCGGACATCCGTAGCGTTTGTTGCTTAAAACCGCATCGGTGGTAGCTCGGTGAAATTTTAACTTCAGAGTTAAATTTCACCGGGCTCTCACCGAGCTCCCTCATCATGTCATCGCAGCCCCATCGTAACCACATCGGAAAACACGTCAGCCGGTGCACGGCCGAGTATCGGCCGGTGTCCCGTGCATCTGAGACAACCAGAGGACGAGGTTTTTTAACGGACAGCGGCCGAGCTCCGAACGAGCTCCGGCCGATGTGGGACAGAGCATCGGCCGGTCGCTGTTCAAAGCCCGTTAACAACCCGGCCGGCGATCGCACGGTGTCCTGTTTCCTGCTCGGGTACCGGCCGTATTCCTTCCGATGTCCGGCCGACCTCCGGCCGGTAGTTGCTGCCACATCGGCAGAAAAAAACTACCATTTTGAGACAGACTCCGTACGGTCACCGGCTGGTGTTCGGTCGGTCGCCTGAAGATGTCCGGACGGAGTCCGTTCACATCACCGAGCTCTGCTTCCGATGAGGAGAGCTCGGTGGCACCAAAAAAATCCACCGAGCTCTACCGATGCCGGACATCGGCTGGGCTATGTGACTAGGCCATAAGAAGATTATATTATGATGTGTTTATTCAAAAAATCCTTTGTCTTTGCTCAACCAATGGGTGTTACTTTATGTTGAATGAAATCTTCATGTTATATTTTGTTGTAATATTTCTTTGCCTTATCGTAGATGTTTGCTAATGAAGGTCTCAGGACATTGTGTTTGGCAGTGAAAGAGATCTCTAGTGACTATTATGACAGTTGGAGAAAAAGATATCATACTGCATCGTAAGTAAAGTTATTGTACTCTAAGGGTGGTGTCTACTGTCTAAAGATAGTTTTGTTAAATAGGAGGTTGTTGTTAAAGAACATTTTATGATTGGGAAAAGGTGATTCAAGGGAATGACGATTCAACATTTCAAATTTCATTTTATGGGGAGAGGTTTAAACCATAACAAAATCTGCTTTGTTTTTCCAAAAGCATTTAAATGTTATATTTTCATACCAAATGAAGAAGTTAAATTAATTCACCCCGTTTGAGGCCTGATTACTTGACAATTCATAAGATAACAAATTAGATCAATATTTATTTCATATTTCTAGATAACCATCAATGATATATGTTTGTTTATAACTTCATATTCAATATCATAGATTAATAGACCAAAGCTTTAATACCGGATTATTGCCTCTTTAAGAGGTAATATTAATGATACAGTTTCATCTAAAATACCTTTATGTCGACAGGACTGCTTTAACTGACAGAGATGACAAATTAGATGAAGTGTATGAAGAGATAGAGAAAGACATGATGTTGATAGGAGCCACTGCTATAGAGGATAAACTCCAAGATGGTGTGCCTGAGTGTATTGCAAACCTTGCACTTGCAGATATCAAAATATGGGTCCTCACTGGAGATAAACAAGGTACTGTTCTTTCAATATTGAGTTAATTGGTCATGAGACTGAAGTGTTCCACATATGTAGGTGTTCCATAGATTTTACTCTACATTTTTACACATGAACACTGGTACATACTCAGTCAGAATATAAATGATTTTTGTGAAAATAATTTATTAATTGTGGTCAAAATAACAACATTGAAATGTGTGTTGATATGATGTTTTTGTTCAAAAACTTTTAAAGAGCATGAGGGGTATAGGTATAGGTATAGTTCTTCATTAGATGGTACTTTAGAAATTAATATATTGATTTGAGCCTTTAAAATCATATTACAGTAAGTAACATTTTACTTCTTCAGTGATATTTGAATTATCTAAATTATCATTCAATATCATTTCTTCCAGAAACTGCCATTAACATAGGCTACTCTTGCAAACTGCTGACTGATGAGATGGAAGATATATTTGTTATAGATGGAGACAACTATGAGACTGTCCAACAGCAGCTGAGACAGGCCAGAGATGATCAAAAGGTAAAGAGGAAACATTACCCTGAGTCTGTGCTCGCTTATCACACTGCCCTCTGACATTAACAAATGATTTTACAGATTTGAAGCTAATATGATCTCAATGATCTTTTAGGGTTCAAGGTTTAAAATATTAAGTGAACATAAACATATTACAAATTCAAGAATCTTTCTATGCATACACTGTTTAATCAAATAATTATCTCAAGTTAAAAGTGTAGATGAAGTTGGGATTTTGAGAAAAATATGGACAAATATTTCACTCCCCCATGCATTCAATTTTAATTATTTTCAATTATTTTTATCTAATGTAGAGAAACTTATTTTAAAAAACCAAAAATGACATTAATTTTGTTATAAAAACGTCACATTGACATTTTTGGTGGTCACGCACTGCACCTTTTTTGATAGATCTTATATCTTAGAACCTATCGATTCAAAAACTCCTAGAAGACCTAACATATTTCCCTGTCTTGCGCCTATTCATTTAGCAATTCAATTGTAAACTTTCTCTTAAATTTTCTAACGAAAATCAGCTTAGTTGAACTGTTCCCATGTAAGAGTCAGGTTCATGTCCTATCAATATAGGACTTAGAGTGCAAAAATATTGATTTGTTACTTTTCAGATATTCATTACTTTCCTAGAAATTTTGATTCCATAACAGAATTCATTTGCATTTCATGTCTTTCATTTGTTTAATTTTGAAATCTACTTTCTAAGCTGTTAATTAAATAAATAAAGATGTTTTATTGTTGTTCTTCAGAAGCAAGGCCAGGCTTCCAACCACATGGATGTTGTCTCATTTGGGGCAATGTCTCCAATGCACAGTGCACAGAATGGCAAAATGGCTGCAATACAGGAGGATGAAGGGGAGGGGGGATATGCACTGGTCATCAATGGACATAGTCTGGTAATTAGATTCTATGATATTGTTCTCAGTTCTATTTCCATTCTATTACATATTTTATCACTATATTGCCATCATCTTGTGCTGCATGGCAGGTGGATGTGTGGGTGGGAAACCGCTTATCCGTTCAACTTAGAATTTATACAGATGAAAGAGCAGAAGCAAAGATCTGATTAGATTTTGGGCATGCTGGGTAAATTACATGGCAGCCATTTTACTCTTTAAAGTGCAATATTTATCACATTTATCTCGTTTCAACTAAAGTTTGAAAATATTGTGTTCCATGAAATAATTTCCTCTAAGATTAACAGTTAACATGGTACCTGTTCATACCTATTTTTTCCTGGTCTTATGTTAATACTCCTTGTACAATTAATATAAATATGTTTTTGTTGTTGTTTCAGGTCCATGCTCTACAGCAAAGTATGGAAATGCTACTGCTTGAGGTATGTATACTTTAGCATAGATTTATGGACATTACATGAAGTAAATATAGATAATGCTCTTATTTTAAGATCTTTTATTGTTTGACAATAATTGCTCAAAATTGTACAATGTCGTTATGCCAATAAAGATGGCGTATAGTCTCAAAATGTTAAAGATACTGATATTTTTCAGCTGTCTTTTTCTAATGTTAGAATCATCCCAGAGATTTTCCCACTTAACAGTGGTTATATGAATTTCTCAAAACAGATGATATTAGTACACACAGTTTAAGTTATTTGCAGAATTCCTGTTCTCTCGCATGAGTTGAAAATGTGCTTGTGTTTTACACTTGAAAAGAAAACACCATAACCAAATAGTTACAGTGTTTGTTGTTTTGTACGTAGGGTGTGCCTCTAAATCTGCCATATTTCCAAGAATGGAGCTCTGTTAAGTAGTTGTAATGTTTGTTTGTTTGTTTGTTTATTAGGTTGGCTGTGCCTGCAAAGCTGTTATATGCTGCCGTGTGACCCCTCTTCAGAAAGCACTGGTTGTTGAACTCATCAAAAAACATAAGAAAACAATCACACTAGCCATAGGGGATGGTGCCAATGATGTATCTATGATTAAAGGTATATGATCATTACATATTAGTGTACATGTACTAACTTATGTATAATATTTATATGTCAAACATATAATGGATTACAATTTCAAAAAACCATCAACTTTCTTTGTAGCAGTACTCTTAAAGGTTTAGGGTACAAACAGTGTTGTGTAGCCTTTGAATTGAATATACATTTATGTACAAATTTATTCTTATCAAAAGTTCATAGGCAACTAGTATAAAACAGCTGGTGTTAGCTTATTTTGATGCTATATAAGAAACGCCCACTCCAGCATTTTGCTTGTGTCTGTTTTCAGCTGCTCATATAGGCGTAGGAATCAGTGGACAAGAAGGTCTACAGGCTGTTCTTGCAAGTGACTATTCACTAGCACAGTTCCGCTTCCTTGAACGTCTACTACTTGTGCATGGACGCTGGTCCTATCTACGCATGTGCAAGTTTCTCAAGTATTTCTTCTACAAGAACTTTGCATTTACACTTTGCCATTTCTGGTTTGGCTTCTTCTGTGGATTTTCTGCTCAGGTGAGCGTTTTATAAATTTCAATGTTAATTTAATTTCTGCAATAGTTTAGACAATAATTTTCACAATTTTAATGATATATCTTTATATATGTGATTGAATTTCTTAAGATTATAGTGGTATAGGTAATATACAGTAAAACCTGTTTATTCTGAAAACCACTTGGACTGGCCAAAATTGTTTGGATTGGCAGGTGTTCATATTTCAATGGCAGATTAAAATAAGGACCGAAATAGACTCTTGCATCAATCTAGTCTTGTCACATTCCCATGAAAAATGTTGATGATGTATATTATATGCAATTTGGATAAGAAAGATGAATATAAAGTTAATTGCGGTTATCATTAATTCTTATGTAATCACTATGCTATACAATGTTGCATAAATTAGTTTAGATAAATTGGAAATAATTTTGATTGATATTATGACTCTTGTCATGACTTCTGATGCCATTGGCAATATTATATGCTGATGCATTTATCCTGCAGCAAAACTAGATATATTAGTAGACATTCTGTCAATTATATTGTAACAAACACTATTTGCACAAACATGTACTGTAATTAGATACCTACTAGATGTGTTTATCAGATACATTTAATACATGTTTGTTTTATTGTTCTTGTCAATTTCTACATTTAACATAGCTTGACAAAAGTTTAATGACTTTACTTTGATCTTGTTGCTAAATAGTAAATATATACATTTGTTACTATAACAAGTCTTTGATTTTAAATTAGTCCTTGTAGAATATGTGCCATTTTGAAATGTGAATGCAAAAACTTGTCTAAAATGAACAGCCTAGAATGCCCTTTTTATGTTGTATTTCTAAATTCCCAATGATTATCATAATTTTAAATCCTCTGATAATAATTGTCTCTTAAAGGGAAAAGTGATCACTTTAGACAAGGTTTTGCTATACTCTGTTTTCAGGGGTACTTTACTGGAGCAGCATTCAAAGCTATTAAAACTGTTGTTTGCATGGAGATTATGATGTCACAGAAAGAACAGTCTTCTGGTGATCTATCCTTTTAGTTTATTGTTTTTATAGCATCCCTGTATTCCTGACAACTTGCAGATTGCCATAAACAATACTAAAACATTGCTTTGTTTACTTTTGCAGACATTGTATGATCCATATTTTATCTCGGTGTACAACCTATTCTATACCTCCCTCCCCGTATTGGTGCTAGGAATCTTTGACAAGGTAGGTAGCTCCATCTGACAGGAGGAAAAGGAACTATAGAACAAAAGGAGTAAAAGCAACAAGTCTTCCTCACCCAGTTCCCAGCAAAGGAAATGCCAGCTCTTAATAATACTAGCCTTATTGTCATCAACTCATATGTAGCTGTTAGCCAATATATAAAAATACAAGTAGATGATAACTATTTATAAAGTCCTAATTGGAAGTGATGGTTGTATATGAGTTGATGAAAGGCTGTATTAAAATATAGAGCTGTCTCTACTCACCATCCTATCCATACATAAATCTTAACATCATATATTACTTCAAACTTACACCATGTCTACATTTTAACACAGTGTGTGTACAGGCCCATAGTCACGATTTGCCAAGGGGGTTTTGAAAAATTACAGGGGGTTCACTTTTGACAAATTTGGTCCAAAAATGGCCAAAATCACTTAAAAAGTGTTCAGAATGTTGAAAAACTGCATGATTTTGATTCGCTCGAACCCATAGAACCCCCTGGCTACGGGCCTGGTGTATGATAGCACTGCATTACACAACACAACATGTGATAGTATTCAGGCATATAGAGTATAATGGCCTTGGAACAGTATAAAGTGCTCATCCCTACATACAGCAAACAGTAGTGCTGCACAAAATAAGAATATGATTGAAAACTATGTTTCTAGCTGTTCCATGCATGGTATCTGGAATTCTGACTAAGTCAATACTAAAAGTAATAACACTCACCACACACGTACATACTACCATTCAAAGCACACTTACCATAAACAGTCAAAGATACCATGGATGTCCATATTTGGTATGTGTTAACACAATGGGAAGTTAAGCCCTGAAGTCCATGGGCATCTGTGGTATCTTAGACAAATAGGTAGTTACTAATATCTCCTTCAACACCCAATATCCTACCTATATCCCATGGCTTTCTAACTGACTTTCTAATATATTTCTGTCTTTCTAATATATTTCCCTCTCTTTCAGATAATCCCAAAAGCTGCATAGTTCTATATTAACACAGTTATATTTATATACATGTAGTTCTTTGATTGGGTCCTTGAACTGATTTCTCTTAACCCCTGAATATTTTCAGCCTATTTACGACCCATACTTCATAGCTCTATATAACATGTGCTATTCATCCCTCCCTGTACTAGCTCTGGGGGTTTTTGAACAGGTAGAGCATTGGCATTCCATACAGCCACATGGACATCTTGCACATCTCACTCTGGCATTCAGCATGAAACAGGGCAAATGCTCTATTAATAGGCCAGATGCGAGCAGAAATAATCTTGATCCACGTAATTAGAAATTCCAAATTCAGTTAAAGTGATATTTTATATGAAATCTACATGTAAAATAACATCTAGAAATTTGTTTTTACAAGGAGTTTATGAACTTTGAAAATTTGATTTTCTCTGAAAATGTGACTTCAAGGTCTGGGAGATTCCCCATAGACTCCATGTTAAAAAATCACAAAAAGTGAAATATATATTTTTTGTATTGAACAGATAATATTTTAATAAAAATTTGTTTATCAGATACATAAGAGTAATATGAAAATTGAACCATTAGAACTGATAAATATTCAAATTTAGGGAAGATTCTAATATACCTGTCATGTTATCTGACCCAAATTAGCCACCTGGTGGTGAAACTGGTAACTACCTACTCGCATCAAGGTTATTAAGAGGACAGGCAATATTGTCCATGTATGCTATTGTTGGACATGACTTCACTTATTGGCCAGCAATTATCAACATGTACATGGACATCACTTTATCCATGTCCTCTACTTGGACCATTTGTCGTGTTTTTTGATGCTGTGCGCTGAACTGATTCATAGAAGATACACTTTCATTTATTTTTATTCGATTCATTCTCTGCACTTTATTAGTTGCGTTCTCAGATTTCGGTTCTTTCTAATAATTTGTCTCCTTACTTCTAACAAGTTCATTTATCAATAGATGTTTATTATTTCAATTTGAAATAGAAGCAAGTTAATAAGTTTCTGCTTTGTATTTTTTGCTGACGCTTTCATCTTTCAGTTTTACAAGTCAAGCCTTTGGTCTTAAGTTAATGTTTGCCTGTTACACAGTCAGGTTAAATTGCTTCGTTAGGAAGCAAAAGCTTTGTAGCACAAAAAATTCTTTGCTATGAAGCTTTTTGTCCGAATGCTTCATAAGAAAGCAGTTTAACTCCGTTGTGTAACAGCGCTGCCTTTTTTACCCTTCCTTAAAGTATACAATATATTTCCATGGCAACCTTTATCCAATAATAAAACAATACATTACACCATATGCACCTCACTAGTTCTCCATTGTGTCCTAATTTACACTAATATAAATTTTATACACAATTTAACTGATTTCTACTTTTATCACACTTTCTCATATTGCAATTTTAATTAAGTTGTGCACCTGTCATCTCTATGGATATATACTTAGATTAACATAAGAGTTACTATTATTTCAACGACTATAGAACATTAACCTTTCTTATAGTAGGTATAGGACCTAAAACGAAGAAATATGTTTAAAAGTAAATAGTTTTAGAGTTTCAAATTTAGTTACTATTATATGTTTACTGTGCTATCTTCTATAAAAATTGATACTGAAATTACAGATTAATTTTGTCTAAAATAGATTTAACATGTACATATTTTTTTGAATATTTTGTCTTTAAAATTGTGATTGTTTTCCTCTAGGATGTGGATGAGCACCACTCTTTACGGTACCCCAAGCTCTACAAGCCTGGTCACCTTGATTCCTTCTTCAACAAGAAGGTGTTTGCAATCAGTGCTGCTGAGGGAATTCTCTCTTCCGTTGTGTTGTTCTTTATACCATTTGGAGCATACTACAATGGTATGAGGGCTGATGGGCTAGAACTTGTTGACCATCAATCTCTGGGGGTGACTGTTGCTGCATCACTCATTGTCACTGTCAATCTAAGGGTAAGGACCACACATTGTCACTGTCAATCTAAGGGTAAGGACAACTCATTGTCATTTCAATTCTGAGGGGAAAGAAGACATTGTCATTGTCAAGTTGAGGGTAAGGACAATGCATTGTCACTTTCAATTTAATGACCACACATTGTCACTGTTAACTTTAGAGTTGAGTGTAACTATTATGAATCTGTTTTCCGATACAATGTAATTATTTCCAATTAATGCACACTTTTATATTGTTTTTCAGTGTGCCTTGGACACAGCCTATTGGACTGGTTTCAACCACTTTGTGATACTTGGCAGCATCCTTTTCTATTTTGCCCTCACCTTTGTCTGGTACATCAACTTCTTCGAGTACAGCTACATGGGAGTGGCACGTAGTGTAATGTCTACAGCACCATTTTGGTTGTCAATGCTTTTAACTGTTGTGATATTATTGGTACCTGTTGTCGCAATCAGATTCTGGTTGATAGACACAAGGCCAACATTAGCTGACAGGGTGCGTCTACGTGCTAAAATACAACGGTCCAAATCTGCGGATGGTGTTGTGCTACGACGTACATCAACGCTACGCAGAAGTACCAGGTCTCTGCGATCTGGCTACGCATTTGCTCATACTGAGGGCTTTGGGGAGTTAATCACAACAGGGACTGCTATGTATCCTTCACAGGCTAGTCTGCGTAGTCCAGTTAATAAAAACAATAAAAATGGCTTCAATAACCCAACTCAACAGTCCAGGAATTCGCCAAAGCGGTCCAGAAAGAACAATAACACGAACACTAATGCAAATGCACTAGATGCCAATCAAGCTGAGCAATGACAGCTAGCTGGGCGGAACAACCCTAATGCTCCGCCCACAAAGGACAATAAAGCTCCACCTACCCATGACACTATGTCTGCAGGGGAGACATCTATATCCAGTGGACAGGCTAGCGTGAAAGAAGTGACTGTAGAAGAAAGTCAACAAAGGCAAGACAATAGAGGCACTGACAATGTAGTCTTTTCTATAAGACTCTAGTCATGTGGACATAAGTTCACATATATCTTTAAGGAATCACGAATCACAAGTGTGAAATATCAAAATTTTGCGCAAAATACCCTGATATGATTGTGACACCTTAAAGAAGCAAGCACTGGCCTGGGAGTTATAGTCTGGAAGAAATATGGGGTATTCTTAATAATCAGTTTAGAAGTAAACCTCTTTGAGGTCACATGATTTTATGCACTACAGCACTGCTCAAGTGGGGACCCAACATTATATATGCTTTAGTAAAGTGCTGTCTGTTTTAATTTGTAATGTATAGAGTATCATGTTTGTTTATATCTGTTTCCATGACAGCATTCCACACAAGTGCAAGTGAGGAGGTGAATAGAAACTTATATTTTTATTGGTTGCAATATTTGATATTATGTTAACAGTTCAGCAGATTAAGTAATTATTCAAATGCTGATAAAAGTGCTTTATAGTGAGGTTTTGGTGGTATAATGCCAGATATATACAGTAAAACCTGTCTAATCTGAATGCCTCTCTGGGACCAGCCAAAAGTGTTCAGATTAGCAGGTGTTCATTTCTCAAGGTTTCTCAATATGTGAGTTAGTTGGAGATAATAAGATTTGGACCGAGAACAAGAGTCAACATTAAAAGGTGTCTGGTTATATTAGGTTTTACTGTAGAGTAAATTATATAGCCAAGTGAAATTCCTATCCTAGTGATCGTATACTTTGAAATTCTCTTATATATCTTCACATATCTCCCCAGTCCTCTCAATCTGAGACAAAAGTTTATACCATTTATATTCTTTATAGTTTTGTAGTACTAGATTAGTATACTGAACTAACAAAGAGTCGTGGTGGAAATGGAACACAAGATTAAATTAATTTGAGTATAATAAAAAGTAATTCTATTATAAAAGTCTCAGCTGGCATGTATATACAATGTTGAACCTGAATTTTAGCTGCAATGATGTCATACCTTTGTGAATAATTGATATTATGCTGTTTTACCATATTATGATGTTATACCTATATGATGTCATATCTTTGTGAACAATTGATATTTCTTAGTTAATACTCCAGCAATATTGTAAAACAGCAATAGTCACGATACAATTGAAAGATATTGCTCTTTGATTTTTAGATATTCCAAACAAGTATTGCGTTGATAGTCACTGCCTGTCTCGTGCATTTCAGACCCATTTCAGCTAATGGTAGCATGATGTATATTCAAGGTATTTTTCCCATCATACTATATACAATATGAATGTATCTAAAATGATAGGTTAATCACTCTACTATACCTAACCCCTAGAAATGCATAAGATACTCTGTTTGTCTAATTGTATTGCCTAGTATATTTTTGAAAGTACCTTATTAACACAGTCATCTGATAAACCATTAATAAGGAACAGACAAATAAAAACAAATACATAATCATTACTAATAAGCCCAATGGGTTGCTCATGAACACCAAATGCAAGGTATAGTAGAGTGTAAATAGGTGACATAATGTATATTTTTGAGTGGGGGTCATAGGGTTTATAGGCCTACTGGTAAAAACTAAATTGAGGATGAAGCTTTCTTTTACATGCTGAAAGTCATCGGACATAACGATCCTCTTGGTCAGTGTTTATTTGCCATGCTTTGGTTGGGGTGGAGAGTTACAGGTTCAAAAATCAGACTCATTATACTCCCGTAACTCCCCCCCCCCGATATTCCTGTGACCCCCCTCCATTACCTTGTATCAGAGGTAGCTTTTATTGGTTGATGTAGAAATCCTTATACTTGGCTCAGGGAAGCATTTTAACACATTAATGTATATAATATAGATGTACATAAAACTGTTATAAATCACTCATATTCATACTTCAACATTTGAACAGACGCAATGTATGCAACGTGATCCTAATACAAATGCAATCTAGGAAATGCGCTGAAGCTTAATTGTTGGCCATCAGTAAATTGACAGGACGACCTAGCTTATTCAGAGTAAAATAAAAGATATAGGAAGGCTAATATTATTAACAATATTATCACAAGATTTTTCGTTAGTTGTAAGCAACAGATTATATAGACAAAAATAACATGTGTTTTGACAATCTTGAAGCATGTATTCAAAAGTGTGATAAAATGCAATATGTACAAACTAGGCTGTTTTCTGGTCTTGTCTTTTAGTAAAACTGTCTCATTAGTGCTGCAATTTCCTGGTTTTAGCCATCCTAAAGAACCCCTTTTGTTCAAATGATAAGGAATTGTTGTGCATTTTATTTCTGGAGTTTAGAGACCTCTCCCAGTAGTCCGTCTCTATGGGCTGAATAACTTTATTGACAAATACTCCTTTTCAATGGAACTGTTATTTTTTGTAACATTTTTGTGTTTGATGGAGTCTATAGGCCTATATCATGTAATTACCTTTTAGATGCAATATAAGTATATGCATGGGATCACTATAAACTATATATGATAGGCATGATATATATTTAGTTAAGATAGGCTCTTATATTATTATTATCATATGTTATACACACAGGCCTAGGGTCACCCTTGTAATATATCCATTTAGGCATGATCACATATTTTATTAATTTAGTTCCAAAGTTATTGTACTTATTGTACTTAATTTCATTGTAATGAATAGTACAAGCTTTCAAAATTTAAATTAAAGATGCTCGCTTCTTTTTTACATGAATGATTAAAAATTCACATGCCACATATAAACATTTAATGAGCTATTGATGACTGATAGATGACAAGGGGCTTAGTTTTAAATGTAATATATTTAATAATACATATATTAATTGTATATATTGTTAAAAATAAATTATTTTCATATTGCTATTAATTGTGTACATAATCAAATACAAATGCACATCTATAGTGATTTATATATTACTAGTTGTATTCATTGTTACATTAATTAATTCAAAATTAAGATAAAATTCCTTGTATACTTATTGTTATATAAATGCATCTATTCATTATTGTCTCAATTATCCAGAGTTACATTCAGATGAAATATTGTCATGGCAATGTTAATTTCTTCAAATTAGATACATTCTTTGATATGTAAAATTGTCTACGTGTAAAGTTGTCCATCCAACATACAGGGTGTCCCAAAAGAGTAATTCCCGTTTCATTTTGGTACATTTTTTGGAACACCCTGTATACACAATGCATTAGACAATTAAAAGTGAATGTCAATGACAAATTAAACCAAAGATATTTGATATTATCTGTTTTCTATTTCACAAATCTATTGTATTCTAAATCTGTATATAAAGTAAAATGATGAAAATAAAATGAATTATATTTAGACCTGAATTAATGTTTTTCTTAAATGGATATTCACACATGTATTACAGAGTGTACCCTGTAACCTTCACTTGTGGACAATACACAGGGTGGTCCAAATATTTAATACTCTGTTTTGTTATTACTGAAGTATGCACTTATAACATGTTATTATTTCATCAATAAACAATGAAAGGTGTGAGCGTTGTGAGGCAGTTTCACTGAAAATGAACAAGAATGTTTAATGGATATTAAAAGTGCTACATTTTCCGTCTGTGTGGGCTGACGGGCGCCGGTTAAATCTTGTCATCAAAATCCCAGCAAAACAGGTTACATATTCAACTTCAAATTTTTACAGATGCAAGAGCAGAATAGGACTTAAACGTGCGATATCTTTCACTGTGTCCCAGTCCTTTTTTATGTCTGCCTAAGTCAGGATGTTAATTCTGGTAATTTAGCATAAAATAGCAGATTTTTGATACAATGAAAAGTGGCAAAAATGTGTATATTTTTGGAAGTTTTATGATGGGCTTCCAAGAAATCTTTGTTGAAAGCCCGAGCTCGAGTTGTATTTATTTGGGTCAAAACTTGAAAAGACAGCTTGAAATATAAATCAATCTACCAAATAGTGTTACGTTCGAAAATAACAGAAAGTAAAAACAGCAATTAAAATATGATAACAATATATTTATACTTTGAAAACTAAATAATATAACAATAATATAAAGGAGGTTTAATACTTAAGTGATGTCCAATCAATGGTACGGCTTATTCTTGATGTCGATAAATGTCGTTGACGATCCTTGAGAATGATCCAGATCACGAAATGTTTCAATAATCGTTAATAGTTCTCCAATGTTTGTAATAATCCAATAATGTTTGTTGTAATCCTATAATGTTCGTATCCAATAATGTTTGATGATAATCCACAAATGTTTGATGATAATCCACAAATGTTTATGATAATCCACGAATGTATATGATAATCCGTATATAGTGTGTGTTGTAATATATGTCCATATGAAGTCCTCAGGTTGTATATTTGTAGTGTTATAAATGTTCCCACAGTAGGTGTCTATAATATTCCGCTAAGAAGATGTCCTTTTAATAAACTTTGAAATTCTGCCCACAGCCTAAATCAGCTCTCTCATTATATAGTTCAAAGGCAAAGTCCAGATGTTTCAAGAAGTTACGATTTCTAGAAAATAACACTGATTGGACATCTTAAGTCACATGATTCAATGTTGATTAAATGATTACAGTTCCAGTACTTTCTAGAAGGCCAAGAGTTAATGAGTCATCCAGTTCGGTTATGTTTACAAGATATAATGTCATTGTGACCTTGACCTAAGATCTCTAATGAAGATCAGTTACAGTATATGCATATTGATAAACTAAACTTAATGTGAATATAATAGAATGTAATACTGTAACACCTCCCTCCTTAAAAGAAAAGTTTTGAATACAATGAAAAACTTTTACAATAATATCTGGTGTAGCGAGGGTTACAAATTTTTTAAAGATGAGGTTGAGACTTACATAACATTTGTTTACAATAGTCAAATACAATAAAAATCATATTACAATAATATTATCAAATCACACTCTAAGTACAATCCTTTTATTATATCAACACAAAGCCTTAGGCAAATGCAGTATAAGTCAAATAGCCTCTTAAAAATAGAGACATTACACTCTTGAAAGAGTGTCAGCAATTAAATTATCCTTGCCTTTGATGTGTCTTATGTCAAGATTGTACTCTGACAATAACAGACTCCACCTCAACAATCTACGATTCTTGTTCTTCATTCTATGAAGGAATGTCAGTGGATTATGATCAGTAAATACAGTAACTGCATGAACTGGTGCACTAACATATACTTCAAAATGTTGTAATGACAGAAGTAATGCTAGACATTCCTTTTCTATGGTGGAGTAGTTTTTCTGATGTTTATCAAATTTCTTTGAATAATAACACACTGGATGATCAATACTATCCTTTTCTTGTAATAGGACAGCCCCCATTCCTACATCAGAAGCATCTACTTGTATTTTGAATGGCTTGCTAAAATCAGGTGCAACAAGCACTGGTTCTTCACTTAGTATGGCCTTGATTTTATCAAAGGCTGTATGACATTGCTCAGACCACACATATTTGATGTTTTTCCCAAGTAAATTGGTCAATGGAAGAGCAATTGAAGAGAAATTTGGACAAAACTTCCTATAAAAGCCAGCCATTCCAAGACTTCTCATCAACTCTTTCTTGTTAGTAGGAACTGGGAGTT